CGCCAACGGCTTAACCGACAACACGCTCATCGTATTTACCTCCGACAATGGTGGCGCCGGTTACATTGGCCTCCCGGACGTCAACAAACCCTTTCGCGGCTGGAAACTGACTCATTTTGAAGGCGGTACACACGTGCCCTTTCTGGCCAAATGGCCGGCGCAAATTCCCAGCGGCAGCGTGGTTGATCATCCCGTACATCACGTCGACGTGTTTCACACTGCGGCAGCGGCCGCTGGCGCACAGGTGCCCACAGATCGGAAACTTGATGGCCGCGACCTGGTGCCTTATGTCCGCGGGGAACGATCAGGCCCGCCCCACGACACCTTGTTCTGGCGCGAGGGTTATCACCAGTCGGTATTACATGATGGTTGGAAGCTGATCCGCAGCGACAAGCCAGACAACAAACACTGGCTGTTCCACCTGGCTCAGGATCCAACCGAACAGCACAACCTGGCCCAGCAGATACCCGACCAGGTGGCCCGTTTAAGTGCCCTGCTGGATGCGCACAACGCCGAGCAGGCACCACCAATGTGGCCGAGCATCACCCAGGCACCACAGCTCATCGACAAACACGGTGGCGAGCCTTACGAACCCGGGGACGAATATATTTACTGGCCTAATTGATCGCGCAAGCGGATCTGGTGGCGCTAACAACGGTGCTAAGCTGTCTGGTGAAGCTGCTGCAGACTAATCATCTGCAATCGGGTGCATGCCGCTGTCTGCAATGCCATGGTCACGTCGGTTACCCGGCACACGTATGTCTTCGACCAGGTCTTGAATGTCCTGAGGTGGCGCAGGCGTCAACAACGCAACGCTCATACCAATGCCCAGGGCTAACCACATAAAGACAAAACCAATGCCCTCTGGCGAAACACCAAACAACCACTGGTCAGGGGTGCCACCACCAAATTTGAAAAAGTAAATATAGCCAAAGGTACTCACCAACCCTGTCAGCATGGCGGCGATCGCGCCCTCTTTGTTCATGCGCTTCCAGAATATACCCAGGAAAATAATCGGAAACAGAGACGCGGCGGCAAGACCAAAGGCAAAAGCCACCACCTGCGCGACAAAACCCAACTGACTGGCATAAAGGCCTAACAGACCCGCAGCAAGCACCGCTCCGGCTGCAGAAAAGCGCGCCACGCGCAGTTCAGTGGTATCACTCATATCTTTGAACAGCGTCCGTCGACACAGATCGTGACTGACCGCAGAAGAAATCACCATCAGCAATCCCGCCGCAGTCGACAGCGCTGCAGCCAGTCCACCGGCCACCACCAGTCCTATGACCCAACCAGGCAACTGAGCAATCTCCGGATTGGCGAGGACAAATATATCGTTATTGGCGTCTACTTCGTTGGCCAGCCCATCTGGTGCTGCCGGGCCACGGATCTGCATCAGGCCGTCGTTGTTTTTATCATCAAAGCCAACCAGGCCGGTCTGTTCCCAGGACTTGAACCATTGTGGCACCGGCTTGCCGCCTTGTGCCAGGACGGCTGTTGCCGCGGCTTCATAATTCTCATCGCTGATATAGGTGGCCTCGTTAACCGTCTCGACGAAGTTCAAGCGTGCAAAAGCACCCACTGCCGGGGCAGTGGTGTATAACAGGGCAATGAAGACAAGCGCATAGCCTGCAGATATGCGAGCAGCCCCAGGGTTACGGACGGTAAAAAACCGAATAATGACATGGGGCAGCCCGGCAGTGCCGAACATCAACGCAGCAGTGATACAAAACACATCAAACATGCTTTTACTGGTGGAGGTGTATTCAAGAAAGCCCAGGTCACTGACAACCTGATTCAGCTTATCAAGCATCGAAACATCGGTGCCTTTCACATCACCAATAAAGCCCAGTTGAGGAATCGGATTATCGGTGATGATCAGGGATATAAATATCGCCGGCACAGTGTACGCAAAAATCAGCACACAATACTGTGCCACCTGGGTATAGGTGATGCCTTTCATACCGCCCAGCACCGCATAGAAAAATACGATGACCATGCCGATGACAATGCCCCACTCGTATTCGATGCCAAGGAAACCGGAAAAAGCGACGCCAACACCTTTCATCTGTCCGGCGATATAGGTGAAGGAAACAAACAACGCACAGACAACAGCCACAACGCGCGCAAACGATGAATAGTATCTGTCACCAACAAAGTCCGGCACGGTGAATTTGCCGAATTCACGCAGAAACGGCGCCAGCAACAGTGCCAGCAGGACATACCCGCCGGTCCAGCCCATCAGGTAAACAGACCCGCCGTAGCCGAGAAAAGCAATCAATCCGGCCATGGATAAAAACGACGCCGCGGACATCCAGTCAGCAGCAGTAGCCATACCATTAAGGACCGGGTTTACATCATGTCCGGCAACATAAAAATCATCTGTAGATCCGGCACGGGACCAGATGGCGATACCGATATAAAGGGCGAAGGTAACCCCGACAAACACAAAGCTCCACGTGGTCTGATCCATTACTGAGTCTCCACGCCATATTTCTTCTCGAGCCGCTTCATTGCCCAGCAGTAATAAAACACCAGCGCCACAAAAAAGTAGATGGACCCCTGCTGGGCAAACCAGAACCCCAACGGCGCACCACCTATCAAAAACTGATCAAGGAATTCACGAAAAAGAATACCGGCACCATAAGAACAGGCAAACCAGATAACCAGCAACACCGTGGTCAGCCTGAGCGTTGCTGACCAGTACCCTTGCGCGTCTGTCTTCTGTGCAGACTTCGACATACCTCTCCCCCCCTGTATCAGATCACTTGTGCCGCTAGTTGCCCGAGAACATATCCTCTATCTCGGCCAGGTCAAGACCGCCGTCAAAGTTGGTGTCGACAAACCACCACTTGAACCAGCCAAGACGCTTTCGCAACCCTTCCGGCAATTCATCTTTTGCCAGCTTGCCATCTTTGTCTTTGTCCATGAAACCGATGAACTGCGCACTGCCTGCGGTCAAATTGCTGTGTATGGGTGCGTCCGAGCGTTCTTTTTCCCAACTGAAACTGACGGAGCCATACAGCATTTCGTCGTGGGACTGCAAACCCCAGGGCACTTCGCGCTCCGGGTCCGGGTTGGCTGGATTGGCCGAAGAATTATCATAAACCGTGCTGTGTACAATGCGCGTGCCTTTCGGCACTCGCTTGGGCTCCACAAAACTGTAAGTGCGCTGCCAGTTAAAGTCATAATTCGGAACTGACAATATCGTTTCGCTGCTACCGTCGGGGTATTCCAGATCAAAGGTGGAGGCTTTGCCGCGATAGTGTGAATGCGGCACCAGCGAATAAATTGTCGCGTCTTCCCAGAATTCAAAATAAGCCGATTCAACATGATCCGCCACGTTGGCAGGTATTTTCAGGCGTGGATTCAGGACCACCTGCTGACGTAGAAAATTAGCGGGTGGTTCATCGGAAAAATACAGAGCCACTTTGGTGGTATCCGTTGTTGCAACACCCACCGGCGTGTAATGCATCTGAAACTGATAAACGCCACCCACGGGAACAAAAACACCCGTCCCAGCTGGCATGTGGGCAGACTCGTTACCGGGTGCGTAACCCATGATGTAGTTCTGAAAGACGCTCTCGCGGTCACTTTCTGTTGGCGCCTGTTCAGCAGAACCCATCAGCACATGGTGCACCACACGGGTATCGCCAGGCACAATGGTTGCGGCCTCAACCCAGACGTCTCGATCCAGAGGGTTGGCTACAACCGGGAACTGGTAATCCACAACGCCGGTCGCCGGGATCTCAAAGGTCGGAATTTCCAGCACCAGATCCGGTTCACCCAGAGGCCATTGTGGCGCTTGATCGCGAGCAACCAGCAGCGGGTCTTCCCCCGTACCACGCGGCGCTCCAGCTTCAATCCAGCGGATCAATGTCTGTGTGTCCGCATCAGACATGGCTGCACTGTGCTGCCATTGCCCAATCTCAGGATCAGCGTGCCAGGGCGGCATACGCTTTACCCGTACAACTTCACGAATCATTGGCGCAAAGCCCTGGATCATGGCGTATTCACTCATTGCCCAGGGTCCGATGCCGCCTTCAACGTGACAGGCCATACAGTTTTCCTGCAATATCCGCGCAATCTGCGTGGCATAGTCGGCCACCGGCCCAACATCAGGCAGGCCCAGCATACAGCCTTCAGGCTCGGGGCCCTGTTGGCTTGAAGATGCACCGTCATGGGTCACCAGTTCAGCTAACAAGGTAGACCCAACATCACCCTGGTAACGAATCTGCCAACCAGACGTATCCACCAGCATCGCATCACCCACCTGATCGAATCCCAATGAAGGTGCAATGATCTGTGCTTGGTCGTGAAGAATCGGCACTTCAATTCCGTTATCTGTTGCAGCCTGCGCAATCCAGGCGCGACTATCTGTGGAATTTATCAGGAGGACTCTCAGTTCCGGCTGCGCTGCTCTAAGGGTTGCCAACGCTTGAGTATCCAGTGAACAGCTGCTCCCATGGGCAACCAGGAGCACGCGCTCAGAGGTGTCATCATAATAAAGTTCATGGGCGAGTCCCGTGTGATCGAGCAGCACAAAGTTCTCGGCCCGCTCAGCAGCCATGCCTGTGGCAGGTAACAGAAGCGCGACAAAGACAAACAAGACCGCACGCAGTTGGTGTCTAAACGCATGTCGATAATTCATAGATACTGCTTCATAAAATAATCCGCGAGTGTAGCAGATGCTTACGGCAGCACTCGAGTTCCACTTCCCACCTTAAAAAGCCCATGAGAGGGTTAGCGCGCGTAATGCAATTTCAAACTCGATATCTGACTCAATACAGACGGCAAGCGACGTGTCGTTAATCTGCCTGTTTGGCGCAACATGACAGTTACCTCTACACCAGCTTGATGCTTTCATCTCTCTCCCACACCACATATGATAAGCATGCGTACTTTCAAACACGACATTGACATGGATCGTCCAGGCGATGCCCTAGCGTGCTTGGTACATGACCAAATCAATTATCTGAATCAATTAAAAGAGGAACGAAATGCAAACTGATCTATGTAAGAAGCTCGGCATCGATTTTCCAATTTTTGCTTTTACGCATTGTCGCGACGTTGTCGCCGCCGTCACCAATGCCGGGGGTATCGGCGTTTTGGGCGCAGTCGGTTTCCGTCCAGAGCAACTGGCCATCGAGCTGGACTGGATAGATGAACATGTCGGCGATCGGCCATATGGCGTGGACGTCATTATTCCCAACAAATATCAGGGCCAGGACGAAAAGGATGAAGAAAAACTGCGCACCATGATCAGTGCAGCAATTCCCCAGGGACATCGAGACTTTGCAGACGAACTGCTCGACGCGCATGGCGTGCCGCGACTGAACAACGAAGGTAAGACGACAGACCGCCTCTCGATGACTGAAGCCACATCAGCGCCACTCGTAGACATCGCCCTTCAACACGACAATGTAAAACTAATCGCCAACGCACTGGGAACACCACCACCTGAAATAATCAGACAAATTCAAGACAGCGGTCGCATGGTTGGCGCCCTCTGCGGGTCGCCGAGACATGCAAAAATGCATGTCGACGCCAGCCTGGATTTTATCATCGCGCAAGGCGGCGAAGGCGGCGGGCACACAGGAGAAATTGGCAGCATGGTGTTGTGGCCTGAGGTCGTCGACGTTGCCGGAGACATACCAGTTATAGCAGCAGGCGGAATTGGCTCTGGACGCCAAATGTATGCAGCGCTTGCTATGGGTACCCAGGGAGTATGGTGTGGTTCGCTATGGCTTACCGTTGCCGAGGCCGCCACCACGCCGATCGAAAAAGAACTGCTACTTGCGGCGAATAGCAACGAAACTATACGTTCAGCGAGCGTCACCGGCAAACCAGTGAGGATGCTGAAAAATGCCTGGACCGAAGCTTGGGATGCCGGCAACAACCCACAATCACTCGATGCACCCATGCAGATGATGGCTGTTGGTAATGCCATGAAACGCATGCGCCGCTTTCCAGAGCAATCCAGGGAACTGATGTTTGTGCCAGTTGGACAAATCGTTGGACGACTCAATCATGTCATGAATGCACGCGATGTCGTCATGCAGTTAGTAGAGGAATACCTAGAGACCAGCGATCGCATGAACGGTTTGTTGCCGGACGTTTCATGAGAGACGGGCGTTTTGCCGACGATGTTGTCGTTGTTGCCGGTGATGCGTCTGCAATCCGCGAAGCGACCCCCCCCTGTTCAGCATGGAAGGTGAGCACATGTCTGTCATAGGTATCGATGGTCGATACGACGAAGACATAGGGACGTTTCACGACCAGGGAATTGCTGCTGCCATGTTAAAAGACACCAGTTTGGCTGCCGGAAACGGCTTGCTAGAACACTGCACTGGCATCTACTAAGACCCCGCAACATTGCCTACCGAATTCCTCCTGATCACATTACTGTAAGCTTGTTTACTATGCTCATTTATGTAATAAAGAATCCAGCCGAGCTGCAAGGAATGCCTCGGGCATGCGCCACAAAACTAATGAAGTTCCAGCACGACCTGAACCACAAGGAGGCCGCAAGTGATTCCCGCAGGCATTATTTCAGCAGATGGTCATATCTGCGAACCACCCAACTGCTATGTCGATTTTATTGAGCCAAAATATCGCGAAGACGCGCCACGTATCGTAGAACAGGAGGATGGTACCGAGGCGTTTGTTATTCCGGGCATGAAAAAACCTATTGCACTGGGCTTCATTGATGGCGCCGGGTTTGGTGTCCGAGAACGTTTCGACCGCGCAAAGAAGATTCGTTTCAGCGACATTCGCAAAGCTGCGTACGACGGACCTGCACGGGTACCTTTCATGGATCAGGACGGGTTGGCTGCTGAGATTATCTATGCCTCCGTGGGCATGGGACTATGCATGCACAAGGACCCCCTCTACAAAAATGCCTGCATGCAAGCCTACAATCAATGGTTACAGAGCATGTGTGCGGATGCACCCACGCGCATTTTCGGTCTGGCTCAAACGGCAGTCCTGAGTGTCGATTCAGCAATCGCTGATTTTCGCAAAGCTAAGGAGATGAACATGGTCGGCATGATGATGCCAGGAGACCCCATCCACGAAGATTACGACCACCCCGACTATGACGCACTATGGGAGTGTGCAACTGACCTCGACCTGCCCGTCTGTTTTCATATCCTCACAGGGCGTGCTGGAAGCCTGCACGTAAAACCCCGCGGTCATGCGATGAATAGCTTTCTAGGCATAATTCGCGCAGTACAGGACATCGTCGGTTTGATGGTGCTTGGTGGCGTGTTCGAGCGACATCCAAATTTAAAACTTGTGGTTGCGGAAAGTGATGCTGGCTGGATACCTCATTACATGCACCGCATGGACCACGCCGCCAAAATTCATGCCGAAGACGGCATTATAAAAGGTTTGTCACAACTCCCAAGCGAATACGTGAAAAATAATGTCTGGGCGACCTTTCAGGATGATCGCACCGCCTTTGAATCCCTGCATATGATCGACTACAAGCATCTGCTCTGGGCCAGTGATTTTCCTCATACAGATTCAACATGGCCAGAGTCATTGGCATTAATTGCGGACCAAACCGCCAAGCTGAACGATGATCAACTACAAGCCATCTTGCGCGACAATACCGCAACGCTGTTCAACCTGCCCGCGGGCAACGAAAGCTGGCGGATGACGCCATGACACATCTGCTCTATGAAAAACGAGGCGGTGTTGCCTATCTCACCATGAACCGACCTGAAAGACGCAACGCGCTGAGCCCACAAATGATCGTGGAAATGGCAAATGCTTGGCGAGATTTCCGAGGCGACGACAATATGCGCGTCGCGATTCTTACTGGAACGGGTGACAAGGCGTTCTGCGCCGGTGCCGATCTGGGCTTACTGATACCACTTTTTTCACGCGCTCGAGAGCCTGACGATGAGTTCGATGAAGCTCTGATCAAAGACCGCTCACTCATGCAAATTGCATTGTTACGCGATTTCGAGTTGTACAAACCTGTGGTAGCCGCTGTGAACGGATTCGCCCTGGCCGGTGGCACCGAAATATTACAGGCAACTGACTTCCGCATCTCAGCACCAACTGCGGAATTCGGATTAACCGAAGTTTCCCGCGGCATTGTTCCCGGAGGCGGCTCACTGGTCAGATTGGCAAGACAGATTCCCTACTGCAAAGCTATGGAAATATTGCTATTGGGGGAGCGTATGCCTGCTGAAGAAGCACTGCGCATTGGTTTGATCAATGAGATTGTCGCCGCCGAAAATCTTCAATCGCGGGCTGCAGAGGTCGCCGGGCGAATAGCCGAAAACGGCCCACTAGCTGTCGCTGCGTGCAAAGAAGCAGTCATTCGAACCAGTGGCCTGGCGCTTGAACAAGCCTTTCCTATCGAAACCGAAATATCCGCACGCATTATGCGCACTGAGGACGCAATTGAAGGTCCTAAAGCGTTCATGGAGAAGCGAAAAGCAGTGTACCGGGGAAAATAACTATGCCTGAGGCCACATCCAAGCCAAAACTAAAAGTCGCATTAGACGATGACCATGTTGCCACTGTCGAGCTCACCAACGGCGATTACAACTTTTTCGACATGGAAATGCTGATGGGGCTCGCAGAAGCTTTCGAAACACTAGATGATACCGCGGCGTGCCGCGCAATCTTGCTTTGTGCCAGCGGTAAAGCGTTCTGTGCGGGTGCAGATTTTCAAGGCGGGAAAAACGGCGCCAATCCCGCGGGCTTAGGAAACTTGGATAAAGGCAGCGGGTTAAGTGGTCATTTATACGAACAAGCCGTGCGCTTGTTTGCTACTAAAAAGCCTATCGTTGCCGCGATACATGGCGCTGCCATCGGTGGCGGGCTTGGCTTAGCCCTGGTTGCAGATTTGCGTGTGGGATGTCCACAAACCAGGATGGCGGCCAATTTCACTCAACTGGGTATTCATCCTGGATTCGGCCTCAGCTTTACATTACCGAGAATTGTCGGCCAGCAAAGTGCCTACGATATGTTCTACACAGGTCGCCGGGTTACAGGAGAAGAAGCATTTGCAATCGGTTTGCTCGATCAGTTCGTCGATCAAGCAGAGGTACGCCCTGTGGCGCAGTTAAAAGCAGCTCAAATTGCTGGCGCAGCCCCTCAGGCGGTGATGTCGGTCCGGGAGACACTCCGCGGAAATTTTGCAGAAGCTGTGCGCAATGCGACCGATAGAGAGTTATCTGAACAAAACTGGCTGCTACGGACACAAGATGCCGCTGAAGGTGTGCGAGCAGTATCGGAAAGGCGAGCAGGCAAATTCACTGGGAACTAGTACTCCTTCCATCTTAAATTTACGGATCAGAGCCTCACAAACGCGCGCGAAGGGAAATTTTATTTCGAACACCACACTATGTACAATCCGGCGCTTCATAATTGATCGATACAAGAAGAACCGAGGAGCAGTATGAGTAAGCGTGAGATTGTCGCCATCTCAGATCATATAGACGGCGAAGATATGGGTTTTCTTGTCTATGAGGTCGCACGTGAATTTACCAACGCTTATGCCCAGCTCATGGCACCTTTAGGACTCACCAGACCACAAGCGCGCGTCCTGGCCTGTGTGACCCGCTTTCCAGGCATCACGCAAGCAGACTTGTGCGAGTATATTGGGGTTGGGCGCATGGCAATGAGCGGTCTGATAGATCGTATGGAGAGTAAAGATCTGGTTTCTCGCAGCGAAGACTCCAGCGATAAGCGCATCAAGCGGGTGTTCCTCACGCGCAACGCGCGCAAGCTCATCCCCGACATGCAGGTTATAGCGCACAGATTGTATTCGAAAAGTATGGCGTCGCTGAATGCGAAGGATCTACAAACTACGAAAAGAGTTCTAGGTAAGATAAAAGGCAATCTGCAGGATCTAACCAGCGATAGCTAAGGCTGCTCAGCGCAGGTGTGGGGTGCTGTTAAAACACTACACCGGCTGGCTCAACTCTGAAATGTAACAGATGGCCGGACACTGCGATGAAACCCATTAAAGGCGACCTGAGACTTTGGATCTGACCTTTCCAACATTGGTGTATTAGTATTCAGGCCAAAGCCTCCATCTACCCGCCAAACCTGGCCGGTTATGAACGCTGCAGCTTCGCTCAGTAAGAAACAAACAGCGGCACTGACCTCTGCCTCACACCCCAATCTCCCTAAAGGCGTGCGCTTCGCAAACGACTTTAACGCAGCGATCATTCGCTCATCTGTATAGGTGTCAAAGCCACTTGACTCAATGTAACCCGGCGCAACCGCATTTACGCGCACCCCGTTTTCAGCCCACTCCAGCGCCGCCGTGGCAGTGAGATTTTCCACCCCGGCTCGTGCCGCTCCACTGTGGCCCATCAATGGCATACCACCAACATGATCTGCCGTAATGTTGACAATCACACCGCCACGACGGCGAAGGCATGCCTCATACAAAATCTTGGAAACGACAAATGCAGAAGTTAGATTATTGCGCACAACCGCTTCGAAACCCTTTACTGACATTTCCTCAAGCAGAGCCGGAAATTGTCCCCCCGCACAGTTAACAAGCCCGTCTACAGGTGCTGACAGAACAAACTGATTGATCACGGACTCAACCATTTCTTCGTCCCGCACATCACAAACCAGGAACTCCGCCTCGCCTCCGTCTTGCTCAATCTCATCAACAACACTTTCCAGCTTGGCTGCTGTACGACCAACAATTAGAACTGTGGCACCGACGCTGGCCAACTCGTGAGCAATGCAGCGGCCTATCCCCGACCCGCCCCCGGTTACCAATATCCGTTGGCCATCGAACAAATCTTGCCGAAAAACCGAACGATAACGACGATTCAATATGTTCCCCTATGCATCACGATCCCGCAGCTTTGTACTGGCAGCCATACGCAACGGTGCATACGAGATAACCACCTCTTCATGCTGATTGACGATATTGTTCCTGGTACGCACCAACCCTCTGTCCGGTGTTTTAGATGTGGCTCGACACTCTAAAACTTCAACCTCTACATGCACCGTATCACCCACAAACGTAGGTTTCAGGATTTCGAAATTCATGCTTAGAAATGCAAGACCGGTGCGCTGCAAAGTCGCCTGAACTAACAGTCCTTCCGCTACAGCGTAGACCAGAGCCCCCGGCACCAACCGCCCACCCTGTGGCGCATGTGTCTTGGCGTACTCTACATCTGTAAAGAGAACTTCAACCATGCCCGTGGTGTTGATGAAATTAACCAGATCTGTTTCAGTCAGAGTACGCGCCAGGGTACGAAACTGATCACCAACCTGTAGTTCATCATAAGCGATACCCAACCCAACTGTGCGTAACGAGGTCATCTGGTTGTCTCTCCACCCAAAGTATAGTTAAACCAATTTGAATCTTTCTCAATCTGCTTGTTCAGTGTCTCCGGACTACCAACCAGCAGTTGTGGCACGCCTTGACCAAATGGGCTGGCCCAGGTTTTCCAGAACCAAGCCATGTCCTCATACAGTTTTTGCGCTTTAGCATCGGTTTCCGCGCAAATCATTAACCCGCCCCAACAGGCTTGTTCACCCGGGTGTACATCGTGCCCGTGCAATTTGGCTTCCTCTTCCCACTCCCGCCACAGCGCTTGCAGAAAATCTCTATCGTCCGCAAGAACAATGGGACGACCCTTATACTTAGCCCAGAACTTAGCAGTGCGGATGCTCATGAGGATTAACATACCCCACCAGCGGAAATTGCCAAAAGTCACCCTGATGTGAAAACGTACCACTGTGAAGTGCTTTACCAACAACCTCCACAAATTCCGCAAATTCCGCAAAGTAGGCTCTATTGAGTTCATCTTCCGGACCATCTTTGTTCCACGGCCCAACCGCTTTTAGCTGTGGCTGCACTTTATAGTTTTCGACCCACCGCGACTGATAGCCGCGCACCAGACCAACTCCGTTAGTATCCGATGATAAAGTTCCGGTTTACGCCCAGCCATGCCCGCTTCAAGCTCCAGACGTCGACCGACTGTGCAATAAACAAAGAGACCAAATTTCATGGGTACCTCGAAACTAACGAGTCGCTAATTTGAAAACCGGCGTTTGAAATTCATCAGACACCACGTGAAATTCAACGTCAACTGACAGTCCGAGTTCCAGTTGACCCGCTTCCGCACCAACCAACTGACTCATAAGGCGCACGCCTTCGGAAAACTCAACAACGGCGGCAATAAAGGGTACAGCGAAATTTGCGTGAAAAACCTGATGTGTCACTGTCCATGAATAGAGCGAACCACGCGGTTCCACCGCAGACCACTCGTAGTCGGTGCTGCCGCAACTGGCACACATATAACGCGGTAAATGCCTGAAACGATCACATGCCGTGCAGCGCTGAAACCGTAACACCCCATCCTGGCAAACATGCCAGAATTCAGCGTTGATTGGATCAATGGGTTTCGGTATGGGCCATTCGCTCATTGTTATCTCCTAAGTATCGCTATGCTGCCATCACCCAGGTCTCCCCATCCCGTGACCAGCCCAATTTCTGCACCCTCAACCTGACGGTCTCCCGCGTCATGACGTAATTGACGCGTCGCCTCTACGGCATGATTGAGACCCCACACGTGCGCTTCACTAAGCAGCCCACCATGGGTGTTTAGTGGAAATTTACCTCCCAGTTGAATTTGACCATCTTTAACAAAGTCGTAGATACCACCGCGTTCAGAAAACCCCATCGCCTCTAACTGCAATAGGACGACATAGGTGAAACAGTCATACACCTGCAAAAAATCAACGTCAGTTGGTTTTATCCCGGCCATGTCAAAGGCGCGTGGCGCCGCATAGCTCAACCCGATTTTAAATGGATCCTCTCTAGACGGAATATCATCAGCAGGGTAAGGATGACCTTCGGCGGCTGCCATAACATACACAGGATCATGCGGCAGGTCTTTGGCTCGCTCAGCCGAAGTCAGTACGATTGCACACGCCCCATCGGTCTCCAAACAACAGTCATTGAGTCGAAACGGATCGGAAACCATGCGGCTGTCCAGGTACTGCTCCATCGACAGAGAGCGATCATACATGAATGCCCGCTCATTAAGCTGCGCGTGTTTCCTGCATGCAACTGCGACTTCACCAGTGGCTTCATCCGGAATTTGAAAAAGCTCTTTATGGCGTGTAGCCAGCCAGGCATACATTTGTACCGGTAACATAACGCCAAACGGAATATAAAAATCTTTCATGGTTGCCGACATGGCAGATATGCCTATCGGCCGGCTGCGAGGCTGACCAGGTTTTGGGCGCAAAGCAGAATAACCATTCCATCCAAGCACAATCAGTACCGTCTCGGCCAGACCTGCGGCAATTGCGACAGATGCATTCTGTATGGCTGCAGTTGGACTTGCACCACCCATATGAACGGTCGCCGCGTAATGCAGAACAGGTACACCCAGATTCGCCGCAAGCTCTTCCGATGTTGTAATAATTGGCGGCGGTACCATGCCATCAATATCAGCAGGAGTCAGACCCGCATCTGCGATCGCAGATCTTGCTGCCTCTAACATCAAATCTACAGCGGTTCGTTGTGTGCCCTTGGTATAATTCGTTTCAGCAATACCGACAATTGCGGCTTCATTTCCCCACTTCACTTCACCTCCTTCAGCTATCGCCTGTCTTGGTCTTTCTTCGCGGGCAGTTTCCACTGGCCATCTTCGTATTTGACAAGGGGTTCGCGCAGCATGCCAAGCCCTCGTTCACTGATAATACTTTTCGGTATGTTAGCAGAGCCGCCCCCAGTGATGCCTACAAAAGAACTCAGAAATCCTTTCTGCCAATTTCGTTTGTCTTGATACAAAGACTCATCGTAGAGCGCCCCAAACTCGCCAAACACATCGAATTAGTAGAAGAAGCACAACGACTTCGCTCTGGATTCATTGGTGGCGTCAAGCATATGAAAGTCCAGCTTGAAATCAGCGCCTGATTTCTCTTTTCTTGTCTGGCGCCTTCCCGCAACTTCACCCCTGCTTGTCCAAGGGGCTATTAATATCGGCAAACAGCTTACGCCCAATACGTATGCTCCCAGAAAATGACAAAAACTCAGGACCGTCGTTTCATCTGGAATCGGACCACCCGGGCGCCAGATCATCCAATCATGGAATAGCCGCCGCTGACACTCAGGACCTGCCCGGTCACATGGCCCGCAACTTCATTTGACGCAAGAAACAGTACTGCGTTAGCCACATCTTCAGGCCTGCCTAACTTTCGTAAAGGCAGCGACTTTGCAATTGTGGCAATTTGATCTTCAGTAAACATGGCGTCTTTGTCTGCCCACATACTGTTAACGCCGACCTCACCAGTCTCCTCAGGTATGGTTACGCCCGGACACACCACATTACATCGCACGCCAAAACGACCGTTCTCCTTTGCGATGGTCTTCATAAAGCTGTTAACGGCTGCTTTCATGCCCCCATATACCGCCTCGCGGGACTCTCCCTGACGACTTGCATCAGAGCTTATTGACACAATACTGCCATTCTTGTTGGCTAACATCTCTGTCAATGCTGTACGCGTACAGTTCAGAACCCCTACGAAGTTGACCTGTATTATTTTCTGCCACAATTCGGGTGTTGTCTGGGTAAAAAACATAAGGTCATCCCATCCGACGTTATTAACAAGCACATCGACGGCACCATGCGCAGTGTTTGCCGCAGCAAACAATGCCTCTACCTGCACAATATCTGTCACATCACACGATACAATCTGTACGGAACCTGCGCCCGCTGTGCGCGCTTCTTCTGCCACAGTTTCAGCTTGCTTAAGATCAATTTCAGCGATCGTGATATTTGCGCCTTCACGCGCAAAACCCAATGATATCGCGCGGCCAATATTGGAAGCCCCGCCGGTAATTACGACAGATTTTCTGCTAAAACCAAGGTCCAAGGCCCACCTCCCCATTCAATACGCGTAACATGTATCCGCCCCTGACAAATTCAAAATCTGGGTTCGCGTTTCTCACGAAAAGCAGCCACTCCTTCTCGTGCATCATCGTCAAGAAATAAAAAGGGCATCACGCTTTTTGCATAATTGATATCGCTCCCACCCAGTTCTCGATTGAATATCTCTTTCGCGTAACGAATCGCCATTTGCGGCTGATTTGCCAACTTTTCGGCAAGTTCAAACGCGCGCTGCAATAGTTGATCGTGCGGTACGATTCTCAGCACGAGTCCCAACTCATGTGCCTCATGAGCAGAAATGGGCTCGCCAAGCATGGTGAGATACTTTGCCATCTGACGCCCAACTAATGCATTGAGTCGCACAATGGCGAAACCAGGCAGCAACCCAAGCTTGATTTCCGGCACGCCAAACTGTGCCTGCTCGGAGGCAATAACAAAATCACAGGCAATGGCTATTTCGCAGCCACCGCCAAGCGCCAAGCCATTTACCGCAGCAATGACTGGTTTCGAGATATTTTCCGGTGCCGCCAGGACATCGATCACTTCATTCATAAAGTTTTTGGCATAAACCGTACTGAACTCAAATCCACTGATATCGGCGCCCGCGCAAAATGCCCTTTCACCTGCACCCGTAATCACCACCACCCGAACTTGCGGATCATCGTCCGCTGTCGTCAGCGCCTCGGTCAAGCCTTCGCGAATCCCAACACTCAGGGCATTCAATTTAGCTGGCTCATCCAGAGTCACCAACGCCACAGCACCCTTGATTTCGTATTCGACGCTGTGCAACCTCATAATCCGATGACCCCAGTCTCCATGGCATCCAACTGCTCTTGACCAGCGCGAGCAAGTGCCGCACGAATGCGCGTATGGAAGTGCGCCAGGGCGGGTTCATTGCGTCCAAATGTAATGGCCTCCTGGGCACCACTGGAAAAATCCTTCTGAGCGTTTTGCGCCAGCGGGAAATCCTCCTCCAGGACTGTTGCCATCAACAGATCCATGTTCTTGTTCCAATATGCCTTTGCTTTTTCTGTTACAGCTGGTTCTGGTGTGTACAACGAAACATGCATCTTCGACTTGTTCGGCCTGCCATCTGGATAGACACGCCAGGTTTCCAGATGATCCCCCTGTTGTACCACTACCGTATTGGGGAACAGGACATACACCATGGCTGAATGCTTGACCAGATCCCACTCTGCTTCCGGTGCCTCGCGCAAGGACGAGATAGTTTTGCGCGCTGCAATCATCCGCAAGTTATCTCCCATCGCATCGAAAGTAGCGAGATTGCTATGCAGAATGGGGGCAATCGTACGTTTGTGTAGAACATTAAGGTGATAGGTTTCCAGGAATGTGTCTACGACCAGCTTCCAGTTCATGTTGGCCTGCAACGTGCGGGTTTCGAAGTGACTGTAGGTACTGAAGTCGAAAGCGTCCAGATCCTGCGCCATTCCGGCGAGGTGTTCATCTATATTCAAAGGCGATTCAGGTGTCGGCAGCACCCAGACCATGCCGTATCTTTCGACGACCGGCAAAGCTCTTAGGCCATGCGTCGCACGATCAACATCTTCAAAGGCAGAGTCAAAAGGTATGGAACTCAGGGCACCATCGAGTCCATAGCACCACGCGTGATAGGGACAACTGAACTTACTTTTGCCACTTCCCCGCCCCACCACCAGGCGCGAACCGCGATGGCGGCATACGTTCATAAACGCCTTCACTTGTCCGTCTGCGTCTCGCGTGACGAGTAATGGCAGACCGGAAAAGTCATCTGTCAGGTAATCTCCAGGCTGACGAATCTCATCACTTAGACCCACCAGCAGAGGATAGCGTCTGAAAAACAATTCCTGTTCCAGCTTCGCCTGGTCCTCGCAGATGTAATCAGACACGCTGTTGCGATAGATGTTCTCTGACAAGCTGGTCGACTTTTCATCCAGATAGCGGAACAGTTTACGGGCCTGCGCAACTTGCTCAGCATGCTTCATGACTTGTTACCTTACTTAATCTCACGCATAGGGCACCGCAACCCGGCCCACTTTTTCTCGCGCGATAATCATCTTCTGAATTTGTTGTGTGCCATCACCAATCTGCAAACCCATCACGTCGCGCAGGCGTTGCTGGTGAGGCAGGTCGGTACTGTAGCCGCTGTGCCCGTGGGTCAACAAGCAACGATGAATCGCCTTAAATGCGGTTTCCGGCGCCCACCATTTGCACATCGCTGCTTCAGCCGTATGCGGCAAGTTGTTGTCACGAAGCCATAAGGTTTTGTAACAGAGCAAACGTGCAGCTTCGAGTAACGTTTCGCTCTCGGCGAGGGGCTCGGTCACTCCCTGGTATTTCGCTATAGGATTTCCAAACGCTTCGCGTTGCGTACTATACGCCCAGGTCTCCTCCAGTGACTGCAGTGCAGGCCCCAGCACCTGTAAGCCTATGAGCGCCCGGGAATAGTCAAAACCCTGCATCACTTGCGCAAATCCCTTGCCCTGTTCTCCAACGAGATATTCAGGTTCTATTTCAACGTTGTCAAAATGTACCGAACCCCGACCGACTGCTTTTGAGCCTACATCGTCAAAGCAAGCGTACGAAATCCCGGCTTTGTCCATGGGTACAAAAAATGCTGACACCCCACCGGCGCCGTCCTTGCTCTGATTGGTACGCGCCAACAAAAGAATATGATCTGCCTGATTGACCATTGAAATCGAAGTCTTCTCACCGGAAATGACATAGACATCACCTTGTTTGTCCGCCCGCACCGTTAAGTGCGCGGCATCCGACCCACCGCGAGGCTCGGTCAGACCCAGAGCAACAATCGATTCGCCTGAACATATTCTGGGTACCGCAAGTTGCGCAATCTCCGGGGTCGCGTGCGTCGCAATGATCGATCCCATGAGTGAAGCCAGCAACTGCACGTAGCCGACGTTAATGTCACCGCGAGAAATTTCTTCCACGATAATCCCAGCGGTCAAACTGCTCAATCCAGGACCACCTGATGTTTCAGGTAAGTCTGCCCCAATCAAGCCCAGCTGGCCCATTTCAAGTACCAGCTCCCGAGACACTTTGCCCTCGACTTCACGTTGGTGATAGGCAGGCGCCAACCGTTCCTGGGCAAATCTGCGCACGGTATCGCGAATCGCGTCTTGTTCTTCGGAAAAGGAAAAATCCACGCCAGGCGCTCAGGAAAGGTGCTTGCGAAATTCAGGGGGCCGTTTTTCGTTCAACGCTTGCACACCCTCTTTCGACTCAGCTGTATCGTAATAGAGTTTCAGCGCCTGCATACCTAATCCACCAATACCGCGTATGTTGTCGCTATCCGCGTTAAAAGAACGCTTCGCTATGGCAATTGCCGTAGGACTGCGCTCCACAAGTTCCGCACACCAGGCATCCACTGCAGCGTCCAGCTCTTCTTCAGGAAAAATGGCATTCACTAGGCCCATTTCAAGCGCCTCAGTCGCTGAATAGCGACGGCACATATACCAGATTTCCCGCGCTTTCTTCTCCCCAACAACCCGAGCCAGGTAGGCAGTGCCGAACCCGGGATCAACTGAACCCATCTTTGGACCGACCTGTCCAAAGATCGCGCTGTCCGCGGCAAGCGTCATATCGCAAATGGTCGCGAGAACATTGCCGCCACCAATCGCGTAGCCTCGCACTTTAGCAATAACAGGTTTCGGCACATCTCGCAGTACCGAGTGAAGTTCCTCAACTGGCATACCGATGGTGCCGCGCGCGTCTTTGTCACCATAAGAGCCATCATGATCAGATTGGTCACCGCCTGTGCAGAATGCCTTTGGACCGGCTCCGGTTAACACAATAGCGCCGATATCAGAATTCCATCCTGCGTCTAGAAACGCGTTGATCAATTCGACACAAGTCCGTGGACGAAAGGCGTTGTATACCTCCGGCCGATTAATGGTGATGGTTGCAACACCCTCACGCTCTTCATGCAGTATATCTGTGTAATCCATCAATCCCCCTGGTTAACCATCTGGTCTCATACTCAGCACTGCCTTTCTGCGCACTGCCCTTCTGCGCAACGACTTGGTGCTGGACATTTTTTCTAACACTAATTAGATTTCAGATCTTAGGCAAGGATATATTAGTGGCCATAACTGAATGACCGGAAGCAATACCAAGTCAGCCCGTACCCGCGCAAAAATACTTGACGCAGCGGCACTCACTTTTCGCCTTCGGGGCTACGCTGCTACGACGTTAAAGGACATTGCCGAAGCAGCGGATATGCAAACAGGAAGCTTGTATTATCATTTTGAATCCAAAGCAAAACTCATGGAAGAAGTGCTGGATAAGGGTATTCGCGAAGTCCACGCTGGCGTGCTTAAAAGTCAAAAGGAACTTGCGGCAGATGTATCCGCCGAACAGAGAATCCTGAGTGCTGTGCATGCACATCTGATTCTGCTGTTGAAGAATGGCGACTACACCTCGACCAACATTCGTAATTTTGGTCAAGTGCCGGACGAAGTACATCAGCACCACATCAAACTACGCAAAGCCTATGCTGATCTATGGCGGAAAATTCTGCGCCAGGCGCAACAAGAAGGCGCACTGGCCGCAGACATTGATCTCGCCCTGTTACGAATGTTGCTCATGGGCGCTTTAAACTGGTCGGTCGAGTGGTACCAACCCGACAAAACGTCTATCGAGGCCATCGCGCAACAAGTCTGCCGCATGCTCTTTCACGGTATCGGTTCCTCTCGCCCACTAAAGAATGCCTCTGCGTGACGAATCTGGTCAAATACACGCCAAATTAATAAGTTTACTTACAATTTAGCTTGTTAGAGAATCGTGTTGGACTACGCCGGACCACTCATGCCATGGGTGACAACTCGATTGAGTGACCACACCCTGTTGGGATCCATGCATTGAATCATCGAACGAAAAGGAGACTGGAGCGTGCAAAGATGGCAAATCGGTCACGTTAGCATCACGCGGGTTGTAGACGTCATGCAGAATATCGACCTGGCATTTCTCATACCCGAAGCGACGCCTGAAAATCTGGCACCCTTCGCCAGCTGGCTCAAGCCACATTTTCTCAATTCCGATACAACAGTGCCATTGAGCATTCACACTTTCGTAATCCAGTCTGACGATACCACCATCGTCGTAGACACCTGCATCGGCAACGATAAACCACGGGCCATGCCTGACTGGAATCAGAGACAAAGCAGCTTTTTATCGGACCTGACCACAGTCGGAGCCGCACGCGAAGCAGTCGACGTCGTCCTCTGCACTCACCTGCACGTCGATCATGTCGGCTGGAACACCATGCTGGTTGAGGGAGCCTGGGTACCCACATTTCCTAATGCAAAATATCTGATCGGACGCGAGGAGTGGCATTTCTGGGAGCACGAGGAAGACCCGTTCGGTGCCGAAGCAAAAAGCGACTCCATTGTCCCCATCATCGAATCAGACCTGGTTGAATTAATCGAAACCGACCACATGATTACTGAACAAGTCAGGGTTGTGCCTACCCCGGGACACACGCCCGGTCATATCAGCGTCTTGATCGAATCCAACGGCGAGCGCGCCATTATCACCGGGGATCTGTTTCACCACCCGGTGCAGTTCGCCAAGCCCGGCTGGCAGGACATCGCAGATGTGCAGTCAGATGTCGCGGAAAGAACCCGCCGCGACTTCATACAGGCCTACGGCGACGAAACGCTCATCCTGGGTACACATTTTGCTCCGCCTACGGCGGGCAAGATCGTTGCAACGGGCGGTGAGTACTGGTTCAAAGCGCAGGACTCTGATCCCTGACAAACGCTGCCCGTTGCCGGCTGCAGTGATGCGTGACTCTCTCCCTTGCCCAATTTCGAGCCGTAAGTATACTTATGATTCAATTTATTGCGCCGATCAGGGCGCTGGGGGAATTTTTATGAGTAATCTGGGTTTTGGACTTATTTCTGCGGATTCTCACATTGTCGAACCCGCTGACTGTTATGCAAAGTACATTAGTCCAAAATACCGCGATCGGGCGCCAACTATTGAGAGGGATAAGCTTGGCAATGATATTTACGTCATTCCCGGTATGAAGTCGACTATTCCACTAGGGTTGGTCGCCGCAGCAGGACTGTCAGCAGAAGAATTGGGCCAGCGGCGTGAAGGGTGTACTTTTGATCAGCTTCACATGAGCGGGTCCAACGCAAAATATCGCGTTGCGGACCAGGAGCGTGACGGCGTTGTTGCAGAGATTCTGTATCCGTCTGTGGGTATGGTGTTGTGCAACCATGAAGACTACGACTATAAGACTGCTTGCATGCACGCTTACAACAATTGGCTGACAGCTTACGTCGAGGATGCACCCGCTGGGCGCCTGTTTGGCCTTGGACAGACTTCAGGCAGCTCGGTAGAACAGATGATTGCGGATTTCGAGGACTGTAAGAAGAAAGGTTTTGTCGGCATGATGATGCCCGGTGAACCGCAGGACGAAGACTACGATCATGCAATCTACGATCCGTTGTGGGAATGCGCCGTAGATCTTAACATGCCCCTGTCGTTCCATATCCTCACGTCGCGCAGCAGTAGCGCTAAAGTGCGCGGCAACAAAACCAACGGTTTTCTAGGCATTATTCGCAGCGTTCAGGACGTGATGGGCGTTTTTGTGCTGGGTGGCGTTTTCGACAGACATCCCAACCTGAAGTTTATCGCCGCCGAGGCTGACGCCGGATGGCTACCGCACTATGCGTACCGTATGGATCATGCCTACGAACGCCATGCCATCTGGCTGGGTGGCGGCAAAAACCTGGAGAAAATGCCGAGCGACTACCTCAACTCGAACGTCTGGCTGACCTTTCAGGACGATTGGGTAGCCTTTAAAGTGGCCAACCTGATGAATCCAAAGCGCCTGGTCTGGGCCAACGACTTTCCGCACAGTGACGCAACGTGGCCCTGGTCCCAGGAAATGCTGGCCAAGCACGCATCCGGACTAACCGCCGAGCAGCAGCGCTGGATTATGCGCGACAACATTATCGAATGTTACGATTTACCATTAGACAAAGTCCCGGCCTAGCAACAGGCAATCTGAACGCGGGTGACGCGAATTTGCGCGGGAACCGGCATCGATGATCATGCAGGGCTGTCAGTACACATATCAAAATACAATCGAGCAGTATTCACCAGATTTTCAATTTTAGGGTACATGGTGAATGCTCGAGGATAGCCAGCAAGGGTGAATCGAAATACCGACCAGATCCGAAGCTGATTACCGCTCAGGACTAAAATAGTTTTCATCATTACAATCCAGTGTTACGAGACAAGTTACAGAAACTGAACGGTGACGATATTGTAAGCATGCTTTCTATTTTTATGTGAAATGGCCATAATAGGTTACGATTTTTCGGCAGATGAAAGGATCCCGTTGAAACACGAAACCAACAGAAGCGATCTCAAAATCGCAATCATCGGCGGTGGTATGGCCGGAATTTTGAGCGCCATCAAGCTACGACGCAACGGCTACAACAACTTCACAATCTATGAAAAAGCCAAACGTCTGGGCGGCACATGGCGAGAAAATACTTATCCTGGGATCGCTTGCGACGTACCGTCTCACTCCTATTGTTATGAATTTGAACCCAATCCGGAGTGGTCTCACACCTGTTCACCTGGCGCTGAGATCCTGGAGTACTTCGAAAACGTTGCGGTAAAATACGGCGTAACCAAGCACGTCCAGTTCGAAGCAGAGATATCACAATTGCGCTTTGAGGACGACAAGTGGCACCTACAGTGCAAAGATGGCCAGAGCGGCGTGTTCGACTTCATCGTTGCTGCAACGGGCGTACTCCACCACCCTGCCTATCCTGATATCCCAGGTCTGCAGACATTTACCGGCCCCACCTTTCACTCGGCGCGTTGGGACCATACGGTCAAACTGGAAGGACAGCGCGTCGGTATTATAGGTACGGGTTCCAGTGCCATTCAGATTATTGGCGACCTGTCGGGCAAAGTGGCAAAACTGATTCAATTTCAGCGCACGCCGCAATGGATCTTACCGCGTCCGAATCCAACGTACAGTGAACAGGAAAAACAATACTTTCGCGAAAATCCGGAAGCGATGCAAAAGATTCGCGCTGAACAGATGCAGATGTTCGAACATGGCTTTTCCTCAGCCGTTGTGGGTGAAAATCCCCAGGCATTGGCCGACATTCAAGCGGCCACGCTGGCTCATCTCGAAAACAAAGTCAGCGACTCGGTGTTGCGGGAAAAACTACGGCCCAACTACCAGGCAGCCTGTAAAAGACTCATCATGGACGACAAGTATTACGATGCCATTCAACATCCTGACTCGGAACTGGTGACGGAAACAATAAGCGCTATCGAACCTGCCGGAGTGCGTACCGCAGACGGGAAATTGCATGAACTGGACGTACTGGTAATCGCGACGGGCTTTAAAGCCGATCAGTTCCTGCGCCCAATCGAGGTCATTGGACGCAACGGTAAAACGCTGGAAGAAGCATGGGCCGATCGGCCATCTGCCTATTTATCGGTATGCGCACCGGATTTTCCCAACCTCGTCATGCTCAATGGCCCCAATGGCCCTGTCGGCAATTTTTCACTGATTGACGTTGCAGACATCCAACTCGATTTTTTCATGAAACTCCTGGATGAACTGCAGGCTGGCGATTATACCGCATTTGCACCTAAATCTGAGGCGGCTGAGCGATTCGAAGCGGAACGAGTACAGGCAACGAAGAATACGGTATGGGTGTCCGGGTGCAAAAGTTGGTACCTGGATGATAATGGTGTACCTGCCGCATGGCCATGGTCGATGCATCGGTTTCGTACTGCTTTGGGGAACCCGGATTTTGCCGATTTTGAACTGACTCGCTGAACAGACCCAGAAGCAAAGGTCAGCAAGACACTGACCCTGCTGGCGTGTGTCGCGTCCTACTTCCGGGCATTCCGTTTCATGCCACCTTCTTGGGATGAAGCCTGACTGGGAGGTCGGTGTAGCCTTTGATCAACGTCGATAAACTACGTACCGGTTCGCCGACGACTTCAACCATGTCGAAGCGCTCCATGATTCCCTCCCACAGCAGACGCAATTGCATTTCGGCAAGCCGATTACCCATGCAACGATGTATCCCGAATCCGAAGGATAAGTGATGGCGTGGCCGCTCGCGATCGATGATGAATTCGTACGGCTGATCAATGACTTCTTCGTCGCGATTACCCGACACGTACCACATAACCACCTTGTCACCTTTCTTGAACTGCTTTCCCCGTAACTGGGTGTCTTCCGTCACGGTTCTACGCATTGAGGTCAGGGGAGTCTGCCAGCGAATAATTTCCGGCACCATGCTGGCTATCAACCCAGGGTCTGCTCGCAGTTTGTTGTACTGATTGGGATTCTGATTCAACGCCAGGACCCCACCCGAGATCGAATTTCGTGTTGTGTCATTGCCACCGATGATCAGTAGCATCAGGTTGCCGAGAAACTCATACGGTTGCATGTTGCGGGTTGCTTCCCCGTGAGCGAGCATTGAAATAAGGTCCCCTCGCGGCGGCTGATTGACCCGATCATTCCAGAGCTCTGTAAACGCCTTGAGACAATCCAGTAACACGTCACGCCTCTCCTCGACGGTCTTCACCAGACCATCCGGTCCCGGCTGAGTAGTCGCCACATCAGACCAAAAGGTCAGCTTGCGCCGGTCTTCAAACGGAAAGTCGAACAGCGTTGCCAGCATCTGCGTGGTCAACTCTATCGACACCCTGTCTACCCAGTTGAACGTTTCGCCAACGGGCAGCGAATCCAGAATGGTACCGACCCGCTCTTTGATCAGCGGTTCGAGCTCAGCCAGGTTTTTCGGTGCAACCACGTTCTGAACGGTCTTGCGCTGTTCTCCGTGTTTCGGCTCATCCATGGCGATAAACATTTCCACCGGCAGAGCTGAGGTGTTTACAGGCGCAATGCTGATGCCGTCGGCCGAAGAGTAAACTCGGGGATTACCTTCCACCTCCATGATGTCGTTAAACTTGGTCACCGACCAGAACGGCCCAAACTGCGACTCTTTGCAGTAATGAACCGGGTCTTCCTTTCGCAGACGGTCGAAAAAGGGCCAGAATGCATCAGCCTGAAATAACGCTGGCTGAGCCACATCTATCTCATCCAGGGGAATCGTGTACGGATCGCGGCCAAGCATGGTGTCTCTCAGGTCCATGACAGAGTTTTCGAGCTCATTATCTAATGCTTCGCTCATGGCAAATTCTCCTCAGCTGTAACTTGAAGGAATCTTTTTGATCCCTGCTTCATAGTAATTATGCTTACATTAACTAACAGAAGTATATCACGTATATGTGTGATGGCGCACAAAAGCACCAATCCGCTCAATGGCCGCATAACCCTCATTGATCATTGGCGCAAAGTGCTGGAAAACGTGAACCATGTCCGGCCACTCCTGATAGTCGATAACGACCCCATCGGCAATTGCACGTGTTGCTAAGCGCCGAGCATCGTCCAATAGTGTCTCCGCGGTGCCGACTTGAATGAGTAGTGGTGGCAATCCTTTCAGGTCACCATAAATAGGTGCAACCAGCGAGTCCCTGGGAGACGCCCCGGCCAGGTACGCGGCAAAGGTTATATTTTGCGGCTCGTGATTATTGTTCAGCAGCCATCGGTAAGCTGAAACCGCATCATCAACTGCGGCCGGAAAAGGATGCTCAGGCGCCAGACGATAATCGATCGCAAGCACCTTGCCGACGGTTGCACGGGCGATATTCGCGACCAGCCCGCGATGTGTAGCTAATGAACCAACTACGTACCCACCGCCATGGAGATACAACATGGTATTCGGTGCAGACTCTCCGCCAACAGCCTTTTAAAGGCTTCGACCTGCTCATTCATACCCCGCTCCCAAAACGCTTCTGACTTGACAATTGTACTTTCATTTATGGTTTCGCACACAGTTACGTGGTGGACGCCCGACCGTCCTGATCTGGCGTAAGCACGACCCCGAAGTCGATGCCATCCGGGTTAGACAGCGGTGAACACATACCACTCAAGTAACGGCAGGGGCTTACATTTGTAAAATTCTGCGTTCCCCAACGCCGGTGAAAGAGCGCCGGTGAAAGAGCGCCGGTGATACTTTGCTGCTGGCAGAGCCAAAGTATGCTGCAGGCGCAGACCCCGTCTCAACCGTAACTCACGGATGACGTACATCTTCGTTTCTGTTAAATTTTGTAAGCATAACAACGATACGAGAACCGCATGGATCAGAACAGTACAGATAAGATTGAAAGTGAGCACGAGGTGCTGGATGCACTGATTGTCGGCGCAGGTTTCAACGGTGTTTACCAACTGTACAGGTTGCGCGAGGAAGGGTATTCCGTACGCATATTCGATGCCGCCCCAGAGCTTGGCGGCATCTGGTATTGGAACTGTTACCCTGGTGCCAGGGTCGATTCTCATGTGCCAAATTACGAATTTTCTCTGGAAGAGGTGTGGAAAGACTGGAACTGGACCGAACGCTTCCCTTCCGGTGAGGAGTTGCTTGCGTACTTTCGCCATGTCGATCAGAAGTTAGACATCAGCCGGGATGTTCGCTTCAATACCCGCGTAGTAGCGGCCGAGTTCAGCAATGAGCACAACAACTGGCTAATCCGTACCGCAGACGGACACGAGGTACGCACTCGATTCTTCATTCCCTGTCTCGGCTTTGCCGCGAAATCCTATACGCCGGATCTGCCAGGCTTGGAGCGCTTCTCCGGCCCTTGCCATCATACCGCACACTGGCCCAAAGCCGGGATTGATTTCACTGGTAAACGCATCGGTGTAATCGGTACTGGCGCAAGCGGCGTGCAGGTCATTCAGGAAGCTGCGAAAGTGGCCGCCCACACAACAGTCTTCCAGCGCACGCCCATGTTTGCTCTACCCATGCAGCAACGACGCTATACTACCCAGGAAACAGCGGCGATGAAGCGCGATTATCCAGAGATTTTCCGACGCCGAAACAACGGGAACTCTTCGTTCTACGATCTCGTGCCCGAGCCGCGATCTGCAATGGAAGCATCGGCGCAAGAACGCCAGGCGGTGTTTGAAGATGCCTGGCAGCGTGGCGGATTCAGCTTCTGGGCGGGAACCTTTGCAGACATTCTGTACAACGAGGATTCCAATATGGAAGCCTATCGATTCTGGCGGGACAAAACGCGGGCTCGGGTGAAGGACCCAGTGCTGGCAGAAAAACTCGCCCCAACAGAACCACCACACCCGTTTGGCAGCAAGCGTCCATCGCTGGAACAGGGCTACTATGAATTGTTCAATCAACCAAACGTGAAGCTCGTGGATCTGCGCGAAACGCCTATTTCTGCGGTTGACCCTCAGGGCGTTCAGTGCGCGGATGAAAGCTATGCGCTGGACGTCTTGGTGCTGGCCACAGGATTTGACGCAGGCACCGGCGGCTTTGCGCAAATTGACATTCGAGGCACGAGAAACCAGTCCCTCACCGAGACTTGGGCAGACGGCGTGAAAACCCACCTGGGGTACGGCGTGCCTGGATTTCCTAATATGCTCATGCTCTATGGCCCACAAAGTCCAACGGCATTCTGCAACGGACCGACTTGTGCCGAAGTACAAGGCGAATGGGTAGTGTCCTGTCTCAACCACCTGCGCGATGAAGGTGCTGTCCGCATTGAGGCGACTGATGAGGCCGCCTCGTCCTGGGCCCAGCACATGCTCGACATATCGGAGATGACGCTGCTGTCACGGGCTCAGTCTTGGTATATGGGTGCCAATGTACCCGGCAAGCGGCGCGAACTATTGTTTCACCCAGGCGTAAGAATCTATCTGGAAAATGGGCGTTCCTGTGCCGAAAACGGGTATTCTGGTTTTCAAATCTCATAGCCCTCAGGCGCAGCCAGCCTCAACTTCAAACTTGTGCACACAGGGAATAGCAACATGACCAAACAAGCCAAATCACCTGCCCATAACCTGAGCGAACTTAAAACAAGGCTTGGCGAACTGCTCCCAGGCTTCGCCGCAGCGTACCCCGAGCGAGACGAAGCCTGCGAATTCCCGCATCAGGAGATTAAGGCACTCAAGGAGGCAGGATTCATGAAGCTGACGGTCCCGGAAAAGCTGGGCGGATTCGGCGCCACCGCAGCGGACAGCATCGCGATTACCCAACAGATTGCCGAAGCTTTCCCATCGCTTGCGCAAGTCCTTGCTGTACATTCGGCCATGGTTTCCACGCTCATCGAATTCGGCTCACCGAAGCAAGTCGCAAGTGTATTGAGTCGCGTCGTAAATGACGACCTGTTTATCGGCAACGCCACATCGGAGAAAGGCTCCAATCGAGTGCACACATTTGAAACAGTGTTTGAAGACACTGAGGACGGCGTCTCGATCAATGGCCGGAAGTTCTTTACCACAGGCTCGCCAGCAGCAGACCTGTTGCTGGTATTTGGTCGTCATCACGACACGCTCGGTGTGGCGATCACACCGGCGGATGCTCAGGGTATCACCATCCAGAACAACTGGAGCGCAATGGGCCAGCGGGGCACAGGCAGTGGCGGTATCGAATTCAGGGATCTGTACGTCCCGCACGCCAATCTGCTGAATGGCATCGACATACTGAACTTGCCAGACAGCAGCGTGATCGGCCCGATTTATCAGCTTGGTTTCTCGGCCATGTATGTGGGTATGGCAAAGGGCGCGCTGACATGCGCCACCGAATACGTCCGCACCAACGCGCGCCCGTGGATGGAAAGCAATGTGGCACACGCCGTAGAAGACCCCTACATCCTCACCGAAATCGGCACCCCGCAGGCTTATGCTTCCGCCGCCGAAGCGCTGGTTTCACAGGCGGCACTTAAGGTCAACAAAGTAAACGATGCTTTGCAACAAGACCTGTCAACCGAGGTGATCGCGGATCTGCGTGCCCAGGCTGCAGTGCTGGTGGCACAGGCCAAAGTGGTTTCTACCGAAGTCGCTCTGCGGGTATGTCAGGACATTTTCCAGACCACTGGTGCTCGCTCGACGCTCGCAGAACAAAGACTGGACCGTTTCTGGCGGGACGCGAGAACGCTGACGCTGCACGATCCTAAGCCTTACAAGGCGCGCCTCGTCGGTGAAGCTCTGCTGCAGGGGAAAAGGCCTGCCATTTCGATGCTGTCGTGATCTCGCGGCTACCGTTTATTGGCAGGATTTGCACCGTTTAAATACAGATGATTGTGTTCGCCTGGTTTCGGCACGTGAGACGAACGCAAGAATCGTTCTCCATCGAGTTTAATCGGCAGTCTGATTTGCGGCGCACCGCCATCACTACCCGCCTGTATCATTCCACAAGCCTGGGTTTGCGGGTGCTCAAGCGTCTCAAGCGGTGCAAAAACCGGAGAATTAGGCACGCCCCGGGCATCCAGCAACTCCATCCATTGGGCGCGCGTACGCGTGCCGAGCGAAGCGCTCAGGAGTTCCCGCAAAAGCGATGCGTGACGATGACGCCCACCCGCAGTGTTGAATCTTTCGTCCTGCGCCCACTCCGGGTGATCAAGCACAGCGCACAGTTTTGCAAATTGTGCATCTGTTCCGGCAGTAATAATCAGAACACCATCTGCGGTCTCAAATCCTTCGTTGGGGACAAGTCCTCCTGGTCCCGCCAATCCGTGACGTCCCTGAGCTTTGCCTGTTATTGCAGCTGCCGTTAACGAAAGCGACATATAACCTAAAGCTGTGTCCAGCAGCGAAACGTCAACCAGCCCGCCCTTGCCCGTGCGTGATCGTCGCATCAGACCTGCCTGCACACCCATCACCGCCCACATGCCCGTCCCAAAATCGTTCACCGGCCCCCCCACACGACACGGTTCTCCATCCTCAGGACCTGTGACCGAAGCCATTCCGCTGAACGCCTGAATCAACGGATCATAACCGGGTCGATCAGCCAATGGCCCCTCACTGCCGTATGCGCCTAAATTGCAGTAAACCAGTTCGGGATGCATTTCGAGCAGCGTGCCCGCATCCAATCCCAGTTTGTCGACTGCTCCGGGACGAAGATTCTGAATAAAAACATCCGCCCGGCGACTGACGATTTCTTTGAGAGCTTCAAGGTCCGCGGTCTTGGTCAGATCCAGGACCACGGAATGCTTACCCCTGTTGGCAACCTGAAATATCACGGATGTCTCGTCTGCAATGGGCGGACCCCAGCTACGAGCCGGGTCGCCGCCGTCCGGTTGTTCGACCTTGATTACCGTGGCGCCCATCTGACCCATTATGAAACCGGCCCAGGGTGCCGCAAGGCTCGTACCAAGCTCCACAACGGTAATGTCCAACATGGGTAATTCCGAATTCATCATCGTCCTCTCTCAAACATCCAAAAAATGAACGCTGGGAGATTACCGTCCTGCAGCCCGGCACAGAAACTTGCGCATTCCATCCCTTAACTAAGTATACTTACATTGTTCTATTTGGAGTTCAATGCTGATGAGCACTCATAACCCAAGCAAGCTAACCTCCTTCTACCACTTGATATCGATGACCCTCTGCACGCTCATACTGTTTGTCTCGGGGCACGGCACAGCATGGGGGGCCGATGGGCCAGTAACGCACTGGGGTGACCCAAGCATCGAAGGATTGTGGGATTTTCGCACCATTACTCCATTTCAACGCCCGGAACAGCTTCGCGACAAAGCCGTATTGACACCCGAAGAAGCACAGGCGTTTCGCGCATCGGTGTTGCAGCGTCTGGACGTCGATAATCGAGCCGAAAACGAAAGCGTGGACATAGAAGGTGCATACAACAACATCTGGTACGACTGGGGCACAGAACTCACCGGCGATCTACGCACATCCCTGATTGTCGATCCGCCCAACGGCCGGCTGCCAACTTTAACTGCAGCTGCTGAAAAACAATTGGATGAACACAACCGGCTACGCCTTGCGCCGGTTCGTGACATGTTTTCGTACAGCGCTGATCCGAGCACGTTTCGTCCTGCAGGTCCCGAATCTCTTGGCTTGTCTGAACGCTGTCTCGCAGGATTCAATGCAGGTCCACCGTTGTCACCAAGTGCATATAACAACAATCTTCGCATCGTTCAGACCCCCAACCACATTCTGCTGGTGACAGAAATGATCCACAACGCCCGTGTGATCCCGATGGACGGTCGCCCTCATTTACCGACACAACTCAAGCTGTGGTCAGGGGACGCACGCGGCGAATGGAAAGACGATACATTGATCGTGCGAACCAGGAATTTTTCAGACAAGACAGCCATTTTTCAAATACCTGCGAACTCAATCGCCGATGCTGCTGGAAGTGGGGCCGTCGGATCCAGCGAAAGCTTTGTGCTTACAGAGCGTTTTTCAAGGCAAGGTGAGACATTGCTGTATTCTTATACAATAGATGCACCCGAGGTGTTCACTCAACCGTTTACGGTGAATATCCCGATGCAGAAGTCAACTGCACCTATGTTCGAATACGCGTGCCACGAAGGCAACTACGCACTAATCGGCATGCTCCGCGGCGCGCGTGTTGTTGAAGCCGAGTCGACTACGCCGCGCACCCCAGACAACAAATAGCCCCTCTGCGGGGCATTCTGCGCGCCGCCATTCAGAACACTACGCTAGCCAAAAAATTTGCGCGCAGCATCGGTGAGTTCGCCGCGGAAATTCGGATGAGCAACATTAATCAGCGCTTCTGCACGCTCACGATGACTCTTGCCTGTAAGGTGCGCGACCCCATGCTCAGTAACAATCACATCAGCATAATAGCGCGGTATCGTTACAAGCGAGCCTGTTTCCATTTGCGGTACGATTCTGGAAACGACACCGTCTAACGCGGTTGAAGGCAGTAACGTTATTGCTCTGCCGCCACTCGACAGAAATGCACCGATATGATTCTCGGGTTGCCCACCGGTACCATTAATCATGCGTGCACCGAATACCGTTTCTGCATTAATTTGCCCTGTAAGATCCACTGACAAAGCGTTATTAATTGACACCTGGCGCTCATTCGCCGCAATGCGACGGACATCCAGAATGAATTCCGGGTCGAACAACTGAAAGGTGGGATTGTCTTCAATGATTGCAAAGTCTTCGTCACTACCACCCGTCCAAGCCGCTGCCGCCACAATACCTGCCAGCTGATTTTTCCTGCGCCCTGTGACAATGCCCTTTTCCACCAATCCAGCAGTTCCCGGCGCGATAAGCTCCGTATGCACCCCCAGATCGTTCTTGTCGTCAAACACACCCAACTTGACCATTAAGCTCGAAGGTTCGCCCACTCCAATCTGTATACAGTCACCGTCCTCTATCAATGGTGCGAGGTGCCGCGCAATCCTAACATATTCTTCTGGGGGTTCTCCGAGTCCCAGCTGATTTTCAAGCGATTCAGGATCGATCGCTGCCAGCAGCGGATAGACCAGTCGCAAACGTTCCTGCGGTATCTTTGGAATCAGCGCAGCCATCTGGTCACGGTATTCGGGTTTGATTTGTTCGAGAACCGCCGCGATTTCCGCGGCCCCAATGATCTGGGTTTCACCCTTCACAAAGCAGTCAAACTCACTGACATGCGCATATACGTCACCATGCACCTGCAGCAGCGTGTCGTCAATTTCGGCTATAACCAGGTCTGCACGCCGTATCAGACTACGTTTTGTCCAATGATGGGCGCCAAAATGAACGAAGCCCGCTTTGTTGGGTGGCGAACAAGACACCAGAGCGACAAGCGGACGATTCACGCCGGGGCGTGCCTCATCCACATGTTTAAAACTGGAAGAAAACAGATTAGGTATATAACTAGCCTGCAGTCGGTCATGCGACGCACGTCCTACGTCGCCGATAAAAATTTCGAAGTCTAAGGCGAAAGGGTGATCTATATTCGAATCAAACCAGCCCGGGTTGTCAGTCGGCGCATTGAACAGCAGTCGAACATTTGCCAATTCATCTCGCCGCCCCCATAACGCATCGAGCAAAGAGCGCGGTGCGAATATCGGTATGTTGATCGAACTGCCACTTTTTATGAGTGACACTGCTTGCTTCGCAGTGGTTAGTTTCTTTTCGAAACCGTTGCGCCATGCAGACACTTCAAACCCCTTTTTGTGCAATTTTATCGCTTTGTTTGTACACCCATATTCAAAGATGTTCTAACAAGTGATCACCCGTCAGCACCATGCCATGCCCTGGATAAACTGCCCGCGGTTCTAGCTTCTTAAGCCTTTTAATGGACCTTTTTGTCTGCCGAACGCTGGAATAAATCGCCGGTTTCACCAGTTCACCACGCGCGGAACTTCCGAGCAAGGTGTCCCCGCTGACCAACGCACGCGAGGGCAAATGAAAAAAACAGCAACTGTCCCAGGAGTGTCCAGGTGTATGCACAACCTGCCAGTCTTCGAAACCCGGCAATCGCTGGCCGTGTTTGAGAAAATGTCGAACTGGTGTATGCGGTTTAAGGGTCTCATCAACGACCGGTACATGTGCAGGCTGCGCACGTGCCCTGCGGCTGCGCGCCGGATTGGCGTACATACGCCATGCCCGCAACCGCAAACCTTCGCGAGCGCTGGTCAGCAATCGCATTATCATACTAACCAGCGGGCTGTTAAACCGCCCAAGCTGCGAAGACATCGCATCGGGCATACCAATCTCCGCGCCACAAAGCTGGGCAAGCTGAATCACCCCTCCGCTGTGGTCAGGATCGGAATGCGTGCATACAACCAGGGCTATTTCGTCCGGCTCGCGCTGCAACTCCTGACGTACATATCCAAGTACATACTGTGCGCTACCCTGAGCGACATCAATAACAAGCAGGTGCTCAGGCCCCTCGACAAGGTACGTGTTTACATACCTTGTTTTAATCTGATGAAGCTGCACAGAGGTAGCTCCTGGTGGCACTTTCCCTCGCTTTGTGCATTCGTGATGCTCAGTTCCTGGGGATATCTTTAAAGGGACGGTCAACGTCTGTGCGGGGTTCTTTGGGCATGCCTAAAACGCGTTCTGCAATAATGTTGTGCTGTATTTCATCTGTTCCCCCAGCAATTGAAATAGCTGGAACTGACAACAAGATTTCTGCTATCAATCCATCGAGCGGTCCATCTTTACCCGCCAACAGGGCTTCGCCTCCTGCGATCATAGTATGCACCTCGGCAGCGGCACGCGCTACGTGACTGGCGGCGAGCTTGCCAAGCGACCCTTCCGGACCTTGAGGTCTACCCAGCAGATGGGCCTCGCGTGCCCTCCTCGCTGTCCATTGACTGCTTTTTTCCAGTATCAGTAAGTTCGCGATGGCTTGGCGCACCACAGGGTCCTGATCCAGATCCGCTGCACGTGCCTGTGATATCACCAGATCGGGTCGTCCCGCACGCTGTGGATACCACTTATAGGGCTCGTTAACCGTTCTCGTTTCCGCCGCAAGCTCTTCGAAGATTCCGCCCGTACCCGCCTGCACGCTACCCCAGGCACGCATGCCATCAGCGACCCGCCGTTCGTTGGCGAGTGTCGTCAACGCCACACTCCAGCCTCCGTCGCGCTCCCCAACCACCCGGTCTAACGGAACGATCGCATCTGTAAAAAAAACTTCGTTGAAGGACGCGTAACCGTTCATCTGCTTAAGCGGCCGGACTTCCACCCCTGGCTGCTTCATGTCGACAACAAAAAAGGTCAACCCCCGGTGCTTCGGAACATCCCAATCCGTACGCGCCAACAGCATGCCATAGTTGGCGTGATGAGCAGAGGTGGTCCACACTTTCTGTCCGTTAATCCGCCAATGATCACCCTGCTTGTCCGCACGCGTCGTCAATCCAGCAAGGTCCGACCCGCTTCCTGGCTCACTGAACAGCTGACACCAGGTATCCTCACCGCTGAGAATACCGCCCAGAAACTGGGACTTCTGCGCAGCGCTGCCATGTTCCAGTAGCGTTGCGGCCGCCAGCATTCGTACGCCGGATCGCGCAACGCCAATTGCTCCGAAACTGGCAATTTCGTCCTGAACAGCATTGGCGAGGCTGCTCGGATAGTCGAGGCCGAACCATTCTTCGGGCCACTCAGGACATCCCCAACCCGTCTCAGCCAGCATACGCCGCCACTCGACCAATTTGCGATCGGGGTCCCAATTGCGTTCCAGCCACATCCGAACGTTGGTTCGCAGTGTTTGTTCATCCGGCAGTTCAGCCGCGTTTGAAGCCATTTCGTCTCCTTTAGAGCTGAGTCATCACAAAATCCGATTCGCGTCGAGCGCCTAAATCTGCCAGCCTCGCAGCATCCGCTCCCGATGCCAGGCCGGCTGGCCAAACAGTGTTTCCGAGCTTTTGGCACGCTTGAAATACAGGTGGGTATCGTTTTCCCAGGTAAACCCGATCCCACCGTGAATCTGAATGGTTTGGGCTGCAGTTTTCACGTAAGTATCTGCTGCCATTGCCTTACTCAATGCGGCAAGAGCCGAAAACTCCGGATCGCCTGTGGCAGCCGCTTCCGCCGCACAATATGCAGCAGACTTGGCAAGCTCCACATGCAGGAGCAGATCAGCACATTTGTGCTTGATAGCCTGGAAGCTACCGATGGTGCGACCGAACTGCAGCCGCGTTCCGGCGTAGGTGACGGCATCTTCCAGCAATCGCTGCGCACCCCCAACCATTTCGTTAGCCAGATATACACGGCACAGGTCAATCGTTCGCTCCAGGGCGGAGCCTCCTTCGCCTGGTGTGCCGAGCAGCTTCGCACTGGCGTTATTGAACTCTATCTCGGCCAGCTTACGAGTTTGATCGACGGTGTCTAAAAGCCGCCTATTGACTCCCGGCGCGCTTGCTTCAACCATGAAAAAAGTGATCCCGTTGAGACCCTTCGTCTCAGGCTCACGCGCGGCAACCACAATCACGTCGGCAGAGCAGCCATCGACGACAAAGGTTTTCTTACCTGAGAGAGAATAAGTGTCGCCTTGTTGTGTGTATTGCATTGTCACACTTTTGGCATCCCAGCAACCACCACCTTCGTCAACAGCCAGAGCGTAACGCCTCTCACTGGCGGCTAACGGTGGCAACCAGCGCTCTCGGTCCTGCGCCATTCCAGCTTCCAGGATGGCGGTCCCTGCTAACACGGATGATCCGAAGAGTGGGCTGCAGACTAATCCACGACCCAGCTCTTCCATGGCGATGCACAATTCAACAGCACCAAATCCTTGTCCACCGTACTTTTCAGGTATGTGTAACGCGTGCAACCCCAAACTCTCACACAACCTTTGCCACAATGCCGGATCATATCCGGCATTGGTTTCCATCACCTTGCGAACCTCCTCTCTGGGAGACTGCTCCACGACAAACCTCCTCACAATATCGCGAAAGAGCGCCTGTTCTTCGGTAAAACTGAACTTCATTAGTGTCCCATCCTCTTTGAGCGATATCGCCGGACTTCCAATTGCCACGATCTACCCGATTTATGAACGCGTGCTTACTATGCGGAATTGTGCAATCAACGAGGCTTGAGTGTTACACGCACTACAATGGGAGGCTCTACCGATGCAGCGACAGAAGTCGACCAGAGTATCAGCGGCAACTGATAACGGCATCACCGACCAAGGTTTTGGTGCCATCGTCAACTTCTGCACTTACCTCTACTCTCAGACAGGGCTCGCCATCCTGTTCGAACTTCTCGGAGACCTTGCCTTTACAGGTCACGGTTGCCAGAACCGGAGTAATCGCAGTGAAGCGCACGCCGTATTCCTTTATTCTGTTCTGGTCGACCCAGTTAGTAAGGAGTTGCGCAAGAAATGCCATCGACAACATGCCATGAGCAAATACGTCAGGCATGCCGGCCTTCCTGGCAAAATCGATATCTATGTGAATCGGGTTATGGTCACCGGATGCACCACCGAACAACGCTAATGTCGTGCGCGTTATTGGGCCACAAACATGACTTGGCAATTCATCGCCTACATTGATACTTGCGTAGTTTAATTCAGACATACCATTCCTTAATTTCTGATTACCAGGCTGTTCGTCATACTACCTACTGACTCACCATGCTGATTGGTAGCTGCTGTCTCAGTGAGGATGAACTGTAATGCACCACCTTTTTTTTCATAAGCATCGATAACTTTGTCCTGGAGTGTGATTTCATCACCCGCGTAAATCGGTTTGCCATATTTGAAGCGTTGTTCGCCATGCAGGACACGACCAATGTCGACACCCAGTTGCGCGAGTATCGAAGGCCCTTTAGATGGCGCAAAATTGTTCAAACAAAACAGGTAGGTTGGCGCAGCTGGCAACCCAGGATGGCCCGCCGCCATGGCCGCTTCTTCATCCCAGTAAATTTGATCTACGGCACCTGTGGCTTTAGCAAAGAATTTCATCTGACCTGGCTCAGCCATGACTGTTTTAGGCGGAGACTCCTGCCCGACAATACTTTTATCCAACACCCGCAGCTCCTTGTTCTCAGAAATTATTGTATGCAAGCTTACATGTAGTTTTAATTATAAACCAGATTGGACATTCACATTCACATTGCTTTGTACACTTACGTACAATTTCCGGGTCGTCAACAGCATGGAAAATGAAGGGTAGTCATTGCAGATGAAGCAGTGGTGTAAACAGGCATTCGCGAATACGAAATGCGAGAATTTGAAGTCACCTCTATCGGACCTGAAGAAGGCTTACTCAGGGTCGAGCATTCTGATATTCGCGGCAGTGATTGGTTCCACTACACCCACATTTACGCGAAAACTGTTATTCCAGGTCATGAGCCTGTGGGCATTATTGAAGAAATTGGCGACATTGCTGCGCAGCGCGGGGGCGTACAGGTTGGTGACCGTGTGGCAGTAGCAACAATGCTGCCTTGCGGTTTTTGTCGGCAATGTGTCAAAGGTAAGTACAACCTTTGCAGAGCCTCGGGTGCAATGATCCACGCCTATGGTTATCGCGATGTCTCCGAATCGCCTTCCCTCTGGGGCGGTCATGCCGAATTGCTCTACCTCGATCCGCACGCACTGGTACACAAGATGGATCGGGATTTACCTGCCGAACTTGCGGTCATGTTCAACCCTCTCGGCGCCGGTGTTCGCTGGGCTCATAAGTTACCCGGCACGGGTATTGGCGATTGTGTCGTTGTGCTTGGCTGTGGACAGCGAGGGTTGGCATCGGTAGTTGCGGCTCGTGAAGCAGGCGCATCCAGAATTATCGTCACCGGGCTCACTGCCGATGTACCAAAACTTGAGCTTGCACGCGAATTTGGCGCCGACCTGGCGATCGACGTAGAGAAAGAAGACGCCATCGGTACTGTGCGAGAGTTTACAAATGCGGAGATGGCTCAGGTTGTCGTCGAGGTAACCAGCGGCTCCACACAACCGGTTATCGACTCACTCGATTTAGCCGCACCCGGCGGCACAGTCGTTCTGGCCGGGGCAAAGTACGGAAAAGTGCCTGAATTTGACAGCAATCGAGTGCTGATGCGCGAACTCACTATCCTTGGCGCGCTGGCGGTAGACTACGATTCTTACGAGGCAGCAATACGCATTATCGAGTCGCATCGTTACCCGCTGGAGTTAATGCACACCCATACGCTTGCCTTGGACGAAGCAGATAAAGCCCTGAAAATATTAGGTAACGAATATGAGGGTGAATATGGTATTCATCTATCCTTAGCACCGAACAATTAGTCCACGTTACAAAGTAACGCAAAAAGCTTTGACCTCTCGCTCGATTTACATTACTCCCAGCGTGACAATGCTGACGCGGGTGCGGCACAAGGGAAAACACAAATGACAAGCAGCACAACGGGATCTTCCGATAATTTGGTGCGATAGTGGTTCGCGTCTGTCAATAAAAAAGGCGGCCCTTAGGCCGCCCACGAGTCTTGTTAGGCTAAAATGCCATCTTCACTCGACCATAGATGACCAGGCCACGAGGATCGTGAATCTTGGAATCATAACCCGGACCATCATCCAGAGAAGGTGGGTCTTCGTCGAACAGATTTATCGCACCGATAGTCACGGTTGGGCCATTGCTATCAAACAGTTCCTGAAACTGGTATGAGTACTGTACGTCAACAGTCATATGATCGTCGATTGCCGGGTCTGGTTGTCGACCGTTGAAACCAGCGATTAGTGCAGACGGTGCCCTCGTCATCTCATAGTTATCCGTATACCGCAAGGTGAAGCTGGCGGAGTGACTGCCGAACATCCAGTCAAGTCCCGCATTCGCCCGCCACTCTGGCGCCGGCGCACCAATGGTCTGGAAGTTGCGCTGGCCTTTGCCGTCCACTTCCGGTGAGTTAGGCGCTTCGCGGAATTTGTACTCGTCGATGATGGACGTGTTGAAAAACAGATCAAAAATACCGTAGTCATCAGTTTCCAGCATGTATCCCAGCGAAATATCGATACCGCTGGTATCGACAGAGGCCGCATTGATGAACTCTGAGCGGATCACCGCAATGTTGCCTAGCCCATCCAGGGTGATTTTGGCTTGTGCAAGGGGGTCACCGGCAACAAAAGCTTCGATCACAGAAACGTTAGATTCTTTTTTGATGGCATCTTCATAAGCAAAGTCCCAGTAGTCCACCTCAATAGAAAAGCCATCGAAAGCGCCACTGGTCGGCTCCCAGCTGAAGCCGATGTTGAATACGTCAGCGGTTTCCGGTGCCAGGTCAGGATTACCCACAGCGATACCGGGGACAAATACCCGAGCGGAAGTGGGATCAAAGGGATTCGCCTGGACGTTGTTCAGCGAAGTGTTGGAACCACCTAACTGAGCAAGACCTGGTGCTTTAAAAGAAGTCTGGAAAGAGCCGCGGATGGCAACATCCTGTGTAGGCATCCACAACACAGCAAACTTTGGATCGGTGGTATCACCGGTGCTGCTGCCATAGTCTTCATAGCGAATCGCCAGTGAAAGCTCCATGGCGCCGATGGCGGAATCCATATCTGAAACCGGTATCAGAGTTTCAAGAAACACCGCGTATACGTCGCGGTCAACTTCAAATGGCTCCTGGCCCACCACAAAAGAAAAGTTGAAGTTGCTGCCGGTACCCGACGGGATGGATTCAAACTTCTGATCGCGATACTGAGCGCCGACCGCCAGGCCAACGTTGCCCGCGGGCAGTTCAAACAGGTCGCCGGACACAACACCATCAACTACATAAAGCTCCTGTTCAACCTGAGTCATGATCGGGTCTATCATCCAACTGTACAGCTCGTCTGCATTATACAGACCGTTCGGGCCCAAATCGCTGGGATCGGTCAAATAGGCACTGCCAAAGGGATTCAGGTAGTAACAGCCACCGTCCGCATCACCACGTGCGGTGGTAGCCGGGTTACAGTCTCGACCACCAAATCCGTCTAAAGCAGTCAGCATATTAGAGGTGTTGGTGTCATAAGCGGTAAAACCGGAGAACTCATGTTCACTCCATGTACCTGCCAGGTCGAAGGTCCAGTTTTCGTCAAAGTTGCCTTTGATGCCGGTGACAAAGTGGGACTTGTCACGCTCGATGCGACCGGCGTTTTTAACGCGCCCCTGGTTCATATAGGTCTCTTCGGGGATACCGGTGAAAGGTCGAATATTGGTGATCATCGGGCCAACTAGTGGGTTTGCCTCGGCAGCTGCCACCGCATTGGCAAAGCCAGCCGCCTGGGCCGCAGCGTCGTCAATCAATTCGTTACCACCCAAACCGCGCTGGAAGGCATCAAACCGCAGGCCTGGATTATTGACCGGCACCGTAGGTGCGCTGACAAAACCATAACTGGGTGAATTACCGCGCTTTACATCGTTGGTGGCCATATGGAATTCCCCGTAAATCTCGATTTCATGCTCGATATTCAGCAGGTAATTAAACTGGCCATAAAACTGCATACGTTGCTCTGCATCAATCAGCGACTGCGTCGGTAGAAAATCTACCAGGCAGTTTTCTGAAGCAGGCAAATAGAAGGTGGTGTTGCGACGGCCATTGGCACCGGGGCTACCTTGGGCATGAGGCACATTGGCGCAGTCAAAGTCAGCACCACCAAGGAACTGACCAGTTGCCGGGTTGAACGGTACTTCGGTGGTTGCTTCAAAAGCCGTTAAGCGCGCAGCATAGTCTGCATCACTTTCACCTGCACTCTGGGTTGTGAAGATTTTGCCTGGTGCACCAAAGCTGGATAAACCGCCACCATAGGTGAAGTCCCGGGCAAACATTGGCAGCTCTGTGCGATCCAGGAAGCTGGCCGCAATCATGATGTTACCGCGGTCGCCGCTGAAACCGACAATACCCTGAATGTTCAAATCACGGGCGGCGTCCCAGTCGGTGCTGTCGTTAATGGACTGATAGTCTGCCTGAATTTCAAATCCTTCAAAATCGCTGCGGGTGATAAAGTTCACCACACCGGAAATGGCGTCGGAGCCATATAATGCAGCAGCGCCGTCTTTGAGGATTTCCATACGCTCAATGGCTATCGTCGGCATCATGGAGGCCGTATCGACAAAAGCCACACCGTCATTGGTCAGGTTGGGCGCTTCCGCCTGGCGACGACCATTCATCAGAATGAGGGTAGAGTTTAAGCCCAGACCTCGCAGATTGATGTTCTCGGTTCCTGTTGTCGAACCGGCGCGCAAAGTATCTGGAAAATTTTCCGATCCCAAGTTATAGGTCAGATTCTGGGCCATGTCTTTGACCGTGATGGCGCCGTTACGTGCAAAGTCTTCCTGACCGATGAGATCCAAAGGCGATGACGAGTCGAAGCTCGATCGCTGGATATATGAGCCGGTAACAACAATTTCCTCTATAGGGGCATCGTCTACTGCGGCCATAAGAGGCCCCCCATAGAACAGGATTCCTACGCCGCTGGCGGCTGCAACTGCGATACGCAATAAGTGCTTCATGAATTGATTCTCTCCGATTGATGATTTGTAGCGATTACTTCAATGAACCGAATAAGTTCCAGAAAAAAAAGCTCCAAAAGTATGCCCGCACAACAGGTCGCCTAGCGCAAGAAACACTGCAACCTCTTCACTGGGCCGTCCCCTTGTCACGGCTATGTGGTCAACAAATCTATCTGCACAATACCAACCTGTTCGGGCAAAACCGAGCGTCATACACCTGGTCCTGCACTTATTGTTAGCAACGACTGTGTTGACAACAATCGTGTTGACAACGATATCGATTAGCGGTCACATATCGTGACCTTTAAGATCATATAGCAACAAATCGTCAAGTTAAACTTATACTTTGGATGCCATGATCGCCCACGGATTGGCTAGGACTCTGCGCGGTATATAGTGCAGTATGTCCCTGGTAAATGGAGGTGAAGATGAAGACAATTAGTTTTAGCGCCATGAAGGTGGTGACACCTGCACTTTTCGAAAGGTACATTAGTTTCAAGGCGCGCACGCGCCGTACTGTTATCGCCAGTTTTTTTTTAGCCTCTACCGGTGCAACTGCGAATACAGATTCCAGCGCCGTCGATTGCCTGGCCATTAATGAGCATCAGGCACGGCTTGCCTGTTACGATCGGTTGCACGGTCGCAGCATTGAGCCTGAGCTGCAACAAGCGGCGCAGGAGCGCGGCAAATCTGCAACAGAAACGCCGATAACCGGAGAATCGGTTGAAGATAATCCGCCGACATCCGCTTCAGCACACCAACTAGGCGCGGAACAATTGAGAAAACCCCTGCCCACATCCCCAAGCCGCCCGGTGGAACTGGTGACCAACCTCCAGGCGATGGGCAAAAGTATAACAGGGCGACACTGGTTTCGTCTGGCCAACGGGCAGCTCTGGGAGCAGGTTTCAGCCGGACGCACGACCCTGCGGGAAGGTGATCGTATTCGAATATCAAAGGGCTTGCTGGCTACATATCATTTGCGTCGGGTGGATGGCGGAAGCAGAAGCACATCCGTTAGGCGCCGGGAATAACAAGTTCTTATAAGACCAACGATTACTTTTAATTGCAGTAATAGCGCCTGGCATGGAAGCCAGCGCGGGCTGTCGAAAGTTTTTAGTCAATAACTTGTGAATTGCCGAACTCACAGCATAATGGGGGGGAGGGGGTATTTTCTTGCCTTCGCGGTGACGAAGTACGAGTTAAGAGTGTTCATCCATCGGCTTGCACTCCTTCCACGGCATCTGCTCCCCAATAATAGTTTGAAGTATAGTTGTACGTGGCGGGAACACGGTTTACCTTTGAGCGATGCCAATGGCGGAAACTTGGCGACGCACGTCGCCAAACTTTCACAGTTAGGGGCACACATGGGGAAACTACTCTGGAGGGGAAGAAACCACTATTTACTCACATACTCATGGCTCATCATGGCCACTCACTGCTGCGCTGATCACAGCGTTTACTATTCTGCTGGCGCCCACGGCGAAAGCGGCTGCAGGGGATTCACAGATCATCGAGGAAATCGTTGTAACCGGCTCCCTGATCAAACGGGACAGCTTCGACTCCGCGTCTCCGTTGACCGTCGTCGATTCGGAGGAAATCTCTGACAATGCAACTCCTAACCTCGGCGAAGTACTTGTCAATCAAACATTCAACTATGGATCCGACTTTCAGACGAACACATACGCCGCACGGTCTCAGGTCGGCACGACAACCGCGGCAAATCTGCGAGGACTCGGCGAGCGGGCCACGCTCAACCTGCTGGACGGGAAAAGAGGCGTCGGCACAAACCTCAACAGCACGCTGCCACAGATCGCAATTGACCGGATCGACATTCTCAAGGACGGAGCTTCGGCCACCTAAGGGTCCGACGCGGTCGCCGGTGTGGTGAACGTCATTCCCCGCAAAAACTTCAGCGGTGCCGAGGTATCCATCTTCCAGCAGCAGGATTCCGACAACGACATTGACGAGGATATGTTCGAGTTCATTTTTGGCAGCGAGATGGACAAAGGCCATTTCATGTTTGCCGGGTCATACAGCGAGCGAAGTACATTGGAGCAGACTGAGCGTCCCGAGTATCTCCGGAGAGGCTTTGAGATGTCCGCCACGGGTAACCCCGGAAGGTGGCGGGTACCTACGCGTGATGCGACCGGTGCCATCGTTGGCGCCGCCAACCTTCGCGACCCAGGTTGCGGAGTAGCAACGGACATCGGTCCCGGCGGCACGGACGTAGGCACAAAAGGCAACTACCTGACCGGGGATCCACGATCTGCGACTGAATATGCACTGGGTCTACCAGCCGGCATCACCGGCTCGACCGACTGCAGTTTCCACTTCGGCGAGACCTGGAACTATATCAACCCGCAAGAAAAATTAAGCACCTATCTCAACTTCCAGTACGATTTCAGTGACCATGTGAGCAACGAGTTCGAGCTGGTCTTCGCCCGCCTGACCTCGGACAGCCGAGGTTCACCACAGAACCCAGGCGGTCGTACTGAGGAGTTTCCCATCGTACTGGGTGATCACCCCGGCAACCCTTTCCGGGCTCTGACGTCGGACGGCACACCCCTCTATGCTCAGGATGCAGATGCAGACGGTGTGCCCGATCGCGGCACCGTGGATGCGAACGGTGATGGGGTAATGGACGTCATCGTCGCCGGAATCGATCCAACATCCGGCATTCCCTTTAACGAAGATGTGGACGTCATTGCATTGCGGATCTTTAGCAAGATCGGACTAGTACCGGGTGCCAACCAACCCTCCTCACTCAACGACGACGGCTCGAATACGGGTAATGCATCGTTCGATGCCTGGAGCTTTCGAGCTGCCGATACCCTGACAGTGGACATTCCGAATACCTCCTGGCAGGTGGCGACAACCGCCATCGCCTCCCGGGGTCATGTCGTTCTGGAAGAGAAAAATACCAGCCAGAACGCACTCGAAGCAGGTTTGCGGGGAGTACTGGTCGACGTTCCAGAATCCGATCCCGGATTCACGGGCCCACAATACTGGAACCCGTTCTCGACTCAAGCGCTCGACTGCGTAAACCGGGTTTGCGAGCACACCGGTATACCCGGGTTCGCCAACACCGTCAGTGTGCTGGACGCGGTGAATATTCAGTCTCACGAGATTACAGATAACGAGTTCTGGTCGTTGGAGACGATCGCCACTGGTGAGCTCTTCGAGTTACCCGCAGGCAATGTTCTTGCAGCGTTCGGCGCGGCGTTTCGGGAAGAAAATCAGGAAGTGGATGCCAGTGCGGCACGGAATCAATGCGATTGGCATGAAGGTGGCTGCGCCTTCGACTGGAAGGCCAACCAGAACGTCACGTCGGCGTTCTTCGAGCTTTCCATCCCTGTGATCGAGAGGCTGGAAGTGACGGTCGCCGGCCGCTACTCAGACTATAGTGGTACTGTCGGCGATTCGTTCGATCCGAAGATCGCAGGTCTCTGGCAACCTACCGACTGGTTGTCCATGCGAGCTTCCTGGGGCACAGCCTTCATTGCACCGACGATCGAGCAGCAGTTTTCCACCGAGGTGTGCGGGCTGGAGACTATGTCGGATCCGCTGACCGGCGACATCTCGGCATCGTTCCGCGTGGCTTGCGTGACCGGTAATCCGAATCTGGCACCGGAAGAAGCGGATACATTCAACATCGGCTTCTCTTTGAACCTGCTCGATGGTGACCTCACGCTGGGTCTGGACTACGCCAACTACCAGTTCGAGGACAGGATTTCCGTGGAGACCGGCAACAATGTGTTGCGCGGAAACTTTGCGTCATTCCTGGCCGCCGGTAACGATCCGGCCAGCCAGACAGACATCACAAACTGGATTGCGAACAACGAATCCGGTATTTTTCGGGATACCACGGGCGTAGTAACCCGCGTGATCGTGGACCGGTTGAACGCCCAGGAGATGGAGCACACCGCGTGGGACATCTACGCGTCATACAACTTACCCTTGGATAGAATTGGCAACTTCACGTTCGGACTGGCCGCCACCTGGGCTGAGGAGTACACCTTCGACCTGGGCACGGGTGATCCCCTGGACAGCGGCGATGGTGTCGGCAAACAGAACGAACAGGTTGCCGCAATTCCACCGCTGCCCGAATGGCGTGTGAACGGAACCGTCAACTGGTTCCTGGGCAACCATTCTGCCCGTGTTCGTGTCCGCTGGATCGACGAGTTCGAGCTTGAGTTCAACTCCGTGGGTCTGCAGACGCTTCATGGACTGCGGGGTGGTGCCGAAAACGTAGACGACATTACTTATGTCGATCTCAACTACAAGTATACGTTCGAGGAACTGTTCGGCGTCGGTTCGACTACGCTCGAAGTCGGGGCTAACAACGTGTTCGATGAACTCCCCGAGCCATTCTTCAACCTTGGCGGTATCGAGACATTCGTCCACGATGTCAGAGGACGTATGTGGTATCTTCGTCTTCATCAGACGCTCTAACGGCGCCATTCAGTTTGAGGGGCGGGATTGCACCGCCCCTCCTCCTATCCGGCCTCATGAGTAAGCTTCACCAAATCACCGTCGTCGCAGTTCTCATTGCGTCCAGCGCCGCCGGTTTTGCCGCACCCGAGCTTTCCGAATGTGTAAAGATCGAAGCCCCATCCCAGAGGCTTCTCTGCTATGACCAGTACGCTGGTCGATCGAGCAAAGCAGTCGCGTTCCCGGCGCAAACCCCAACGGGCAAACCTGAGGCTGTACTCCCGCCCTCCGAATCTCAACCTGCACGTGCAGATCGCACTGTCCGTTCGGACGACGATTTCGAGACAGATACGGTCACCGATGCGGCCAGTTTCGGGCTTCGAAAGGAGCGCGAGTGGGTTTCAAAATCAGACTACACAACCGCAAAGATTGTCAGCACTCAATCTTCGCCTAGCGGTGCGCAGATCATGTCTTTGTCCAACGGGCAAATCTGGATCGAGAATGAAAAAGGTCGTCGGCCTATCGAGCTACATCAGACTGTCACGATCCGACGGCAGCGCTTCCACTACAAGATGGTACTGGAATCCCAGCCGGACGTAGCCGTTCGGCGCCTCCAGTAATCAACCCTCAACACTATCTGCTGTTCATTTGAGTAGCGCCCTGGTGGTGGATCCAGGCTCGGAGTGTTTAGCGGAAGGAGGTTTATCAGTTTGTATGATCCGTCAGGCCGTACCACTGCGCCACATTGTCGTGACATACCCAGTCGCGTTCCTGATCGGTCATATGGGCTGTCTGGGTTGCCAGAATTTCCTGTGAGCGCGGCCAGGTCGAATCACTGTGAGGAAAATCGCTCGCCCACATTAGCCGTCGCACGTTAAGCATGTCCTTACACTGAAAGGCCACATAATCATCCTGGAAGGTTACTGCAATATTTTCACGGAAATAGTCACTCGGCTTTTTTTCCAATGGCGGTGCTTTCATCCAGTAGCGATGGTACTCATAAGCATGATCCATACGATACATATAGTGGGGCACCCAGCCGGCATCCGCTTCCGCGCAAACGAGTTTCAATTCTGGATGGCGATCAAATACTCCGGCGTAGATGAACATGCCCATGACATCCTGACAGCTACGAATAATGGACAAAAAAGAATTGATCTTGGGACCTCTCGTCGCATCGAGACCGCCGGATCTCGAGGTAAGAATATGAAACGAAAGAGGCATATTCAGGTCGATAGAAGCCTCCCACAGAGGATCAAATCGCCGATCGTCGTAGTCGAATTGCGTACCGGGCTCACCAGGCATCATAACCCCGATAAAACCCCTGTCTTTCATCTGGTGTAATTCTTTAACAGCAGCTTCGACACTGGTCACGGCGGTTTGTCCTAACCCATAAACCCGGCCATCAGCACCCTCACAGTAGCCTTCCAACCAGCGATTGTAAGCTTCCATGCAGGCTTGCTTGTAAGGCAGGTCCGAGTGATTACATAACACCATACCTACTGTCGGGTAGATAATCTCAGCTGCAATACCATCGCGTTCCTGATCAGCTTTGCGCGCCTTCGGATCCCAGCCACTGCGATGCAGATCTTTAAAGTGCACACCCTGGGCTTTGATATCTTTGGGGTCAAGACCTGCTGCAGCAACCAGCCCCAACGGTACCGGTGATGACATACCTTCAATTACAAAAGCGTCGCCTAGCCCGTCGATCTCTGTAATGAAAGGTGCGGAGTCCTTGTACTTTTCTTGAATATTATCTCGATAACATTCAGGTGGTTCCGTGATATGAGAATCAGCAGATATAACAGGTTTGCCCACTTCGGTCCGTCGCTATTTTATACGTATACGAACAATATAACCTGCCGCCGCTTAAAGTCCACCTCGCCAATCTTCGTTAAACAGCGAGTTCAACCTGCATCGACGACGATTCAAAAAGCGGATAACCCCCCATCTGCGGCAATGACGCAGCCGTTAACCATGCGGGATTCATCCGCGGCAAGAAAAAGTGCGACTTGTGCAATATCATCAGGTTGGCCAACCCCGAACGGATAGCGAACGGCCGTTCGAGCGGCAATTGAATCCTTCAAATCATCATGCTGATCAGACAAATCTCCAAAGCGTTTTTTCACTCTGTCTGTCAGCACAATCCCGGGGCAAATTGCGTTTACTCGAACCAGGTCTTTGGAATATGTGGCAGCGAGCGATCTCGTCAGAGATATGATCGCACCTTTCGCAGCGGAATAAATATGCATGGAGGTACCTTGCAAAGCTGCGGTTGAAGACATATTGATGACGCTACCACCACCACTTTTAATAATTTCTGGAATAACTTCGCGGCAGCAATATAGCGTGCCTTTCAGATCTAACGAAATCGTATGGTCGATTACCCACGGCTCTATTTCGGTAATTGCCCCATCTTTATCAACCGAACCACCTGCACAGTTGTACAGCACATCAAGCTTGTCGCCCGATACCCGTGCCCGCACCAGTGATGAAAGCCACGCGATTGTTTAGTCGATTCATGTCTTATTCTCCTGCGATGTTGCGCTGATCCGGTCAAAAGCAATCAGCGAATTAGGCAAACTAAGTAGAACCGCAACCCTCAATCAATGTAAGCTTGCTTACTTAATATCTTTGTGTAATAAATCGAACCCTGAAAAATGGCCAGGATCCAATATGCACTATGACATTAAAATCACCGGTGGCACTATCCTTGACGGTAGCGGTGATGCTGGCTACATCGGTGAAGTGGGTATCAAAGATGGGAAAGTAGTTGCGCTCGGTGACGCGCCCGGTAAAGCCTCTAAAAACATAGACGCAACCGGCAAGTACGTCACCCCGGGGTTCGTCGATATACACACGCACTACGATGCACAAATCATGTGGGATAAAATGCTGAGTATCTCACCCTGGCATGGTGTGACGACAGTGGTTATGGGCAATTGTGGTTTCGGAATAGCGCCGACGAGGCCCGAGCACCGCTTGTTGATCGCCGAAACATTGGAAAACGTAGAAGGCATGAGTGTAGAGGCACTCAAAGCCGGCCTCGGCGAAGACTGGGGTTTCGAGAGCTTTCCGGAATATCTTGATGCTATCGAACAGGGCGGCACTGCCATTAACGTCGGTGTTCTGCTTGGGCACACAGCTTTGCGCATGTATGTCATGGGTGAAGACTCGACCGAACGAGAAGCTACAAGTTCGGAAATTGGAGAAATGCAGCAACTGGTATCTGAAGCTATCGAGGCCGGTGCGATCGGGTTTGCAACCTCCAAAGCACGAACTCACGTGGGCTATCGCGGGAAACCCGTACCCAGCCGACTGGCAGGTGTGGGAGAACTGAAAGCGCTGACCGGCGTATTGGGTGAGGCTCAGAAAGGCATGATTCAAGCGACGATCGGCAAAGGCATGTCGTTCCAGGAATTTGCTGATATTACAGAAAATACAGGACGACGTATCAGCTGGACGGCGCTGCTTACCGGCTTTCAGGGGACTGCATCTTACAAAGACCAGCTACGTAAATCAGAGGAGCTCATTGCAACGGGACATGACGTTGTGCCACAAGTCACTTGCCGACCTTTGAACTTTGAGTTCAACTTCAGGGCGCCATTTGTTTTCGAAAGCGCAAGAATTTTCCAGGAAGTGTCCGAGGCTGACTATGAAGGCCGTAAAGCCATCTACGCAAGCACCACCTTCCGCGACAAATTCAGACAGCTACTCGCCAAGCCTGGGAACAGCCTGGGCGCAGGATTTGCACAAGCGATGGTCTCTAATTGCCAAAGTGATAGCAGCGTCAATGAGCGAATGCTGTGCGACATCGCCGAGGAACAATCTAAAGACATTGTTGATACTGCACTGGATTTATCGCTGGCAAATCAACTGCAAGTGCGCTTCCGCGTTGCAGTTGCCAATAGCAATGAAGACGAAGTTCAAGAACTCCTCGACCACCCAAGCACGGTCCTCGGATTATCCGATGCTGGCGCACACGCAAGCCAGCTATGCGATGCCTGCTTCTCAACTCACTTGTTAGGGCACTGGGTAAGGGATAAAGGCACTATTCCAATCGAACGAGCGATACGCATGTTGACTTCACGGCCCGCTGAAGTCTTCGGCATAACGGATAGAGGTACTTTAGAGACAGGCAAACCAGCTGATGTCGTCGTGTTTGACCTGGCAAACGTAGGTGCCAGCCCCCTTGAACGCGTCTACGACCTGCCCGCAGGCCAGGACCGACTGATCTCAAAAGCGAAGGGCATAAGCTCAGTGATCGTCAATGGTGTGCTGCTGCGTGAAGACAACATTGACCAGATCGACCTTGCCAAAGACCAATTGCCTGGTCGGCTACTGCGAAATGGCGCTGCCACATAGCGCTGACAACATGTTTATCTATCCAAAGTTTTTTCAGGACAAAAAGTTATGAAAGCAGCCGTGTTCCATGGCCCGAATGTACCTATGACTATAGAGAATGTAGATCTTGATACACCCAGGCCAAGAGAGATTCGGGTCCGCACTGAATTTGCAGGCATTTGCCATAGCGACCTGCACTTCGTCGAGGGCATATTTCCGTTTCGAGCACCAGCCATACTTGGACACGAGTCAGCTGGTATCGTTGAAGAAATCGGATCAGAGGTTGAATACGTCAAGCCTGGCGATCATGTCATTACCTGTCTGTCGGTATTCTGTGGTCACTGCAACCACTGTTTATCCGGCTTTCCAAATCGCTGCGGCGGGCGCGCCACAGCACGCAAGAAAGGCGACCAGCCACGCCTTTCTATGAACGGTGAACCTGTTGCACAGTTTGCACACTTATCATCTTATGCCGAGGCAATGTTAGTTCACGAAAACGCAGTTGTGAAAATTCGCGAAGATATGCCGCTGGATCGTGCAGCATTGATCGGTTGTGGCGTTACCACGGGCACCGGCGCGGCACTGCGTACGGCTAATGTAGAGGCAGGCTCTACCGTTGCAGTAATTGGATGCGGTGGTGTAGGTCTCAGCGCGATTAATGGCGCTGCGATTGCCGGCGCCGGCCGCATAATCGCTATAGATCAAATTGACTCGAAACTTGAGTTGGCCCGGGAGTTTGGCGCGACCGATATAGTGAATGCCAGTGAAGGGGACTCCGTAGAACAAGTTAAAGAAATGACCCAGGGAGGCGTCGACTACTCTTTTGAAGCGATCGGGCTTAAACAAACCTGCGAACAAGCGTGGCAGATGTTGGCGACCGGTGGCACTGCGACAGTAATCGGCATGGTTCCCAATGGTCAATCCATCGAAGTACCAGGCATGGATTTGTTGCAAGAGAAAAAACTTCAGGGTTCAATGATGGGCTCCAATCGCTTTCGTATTGACATGCCACGTTACGTGGATTTTTACATGTCAGGAAAACTCAAGCTTGACCCCCTCATCTCTCGCCGCATTCCTTTGTCAGAGATCAATGAAGGTATGCAGGCACTGAAGACGGGTGAGGTAGCCCGTCAGATAGTCACATTCTGACTTTTCCCACTCAGCTCTAAAGCTGCGTCTTGGGACAGCTGGCACCGACAACCGCTGCAGTAGTTGGGAGGGTAAAGTCCGGAAAGCAGACCAGATTCGAACCCTTCTGCTGCCACATAAAAAACAGCCGCCGATCTTACTGAGGTAGGCAGGTTGTGAGTTTGAACACAAGATAGCTATCGAATTAAGAAAAATTGGAAAGAGGACGTGTTACATGAATGACAAAGATAAATTGAAGTTAGCAAGGGCAATTACCGATCAACTGCCCGCACCAGACGAAATACGCGACGATTGGGGCAAGCTCATCATCGACACGGTCTTACCAGAAGGCGTTTGGTCTCGCCCCGGCTTGCCAGAGCGAGACCGAAGTTTAATCACCGTAGCCGCCTTGTGTGCGTTACATCGTCCCAACGAACTCCGCCTGCACATCGGTCGCGCACTGGACAATGGACTTACTCGACAGGAAGTCAGCGAAGTCATCATGCACATGGCTATCTACGGTGGATTCCCGGTAGCGGTAGAGGGTATGGCGGTTGCCAAAGAGGTTTTCGATAAGCGCGATTAACCACCAGCGGCATATGTAAAAAACCCGTGTGATGCATCGGCCCTGTTCAGTACACGCGGTCGAGGTCGAGTAACACCGTCCCTGTTCGCGTATCGTAGAATATTGTTGGCTTCGGTGCGCCAGGTTGAACACCCTGGAAGTCCAGCGCTATAAACTGACAAACCTGAGCAAAGTTAGTAAACGGCAGCGCGATGGTGGCATCGCTGATCACCGCATCCTGCCCGGCCACAAATTCAATTCCCGTACCCAGTTTTGGCTCAATGTGGTTCCTACTGGTGCCTATTTCTTTGTTCGGATCTGCCTCATCTATACGTGGCGCCGGATTCAGCAAGCCGCGCCAGACGTCTTCACAATCCATATCACGACCGGTAGCCGCCTGATTACGTCGACCAGATACCGGATAACCGAAGGCATTTGCGTCCAGCTCGCCGAGACCAAAACGACTCAAATTTATCTGCGCAGTCTCGCCCTGATGTAGCTGCCAGGCAGCGTGATAGCTTTGTATGCCGCTGCGCAAACTGCCTGCCAGAGCTTCCATCTTCGCCGCAAAAGCCTCGTCGCTGATGTTAATGAACCGCGGCAACAGCGTGGCAACCAGAATACCGAGCAGCACAAGGACTGCCACCAGCTCCACCAGCGTAAATCCTCGCAATTTGACGGACAAAACTCTCATTCTTAGAGTATAGCCGCTACACGTTAACGCGGAATTTGTTACAAAATGTGTCAATTCTGAGGGTTTTCGCCAACTGACCAGAAAAATCTGCGGGCAGCCGGGCTGAAAGCTGCAGCACAGCGTTGTTTGACGGAGGGTAATAGCCACTTGACTAGGTGCTTTCGATTTGATAATTTCCCCGGCCATAGAGAGTATGACCAAATCAAAAAATCAAAGGGGATTTAAACTATGTCCAATAAGTTGTGGCGCAATCCTGCGCTGCTTGCAATCTTTGGCACTCTAGCGTTCTTCAATTTACAGGTTGCTTCTGCTGAAGAAGTGATCGAAGAAATTGTTGTAACGGGTTCATTTATCCGTGGTACACCTGAAGATGCGGCTCTGCCCGTCGACGTGACGACCCGCGATGACTTACAGGATGTTGGTAACCCAACCATAACGGAATTAGTCCGAAATCTGGGTATTTCCAACGGTAACCTCGGCGAAACCAACCAGTTCAACTCGTCTGGCGGACAGGGTAACGAGGGTGTGGCCACTATCAACCTGCGCGGCCTGGGTTCTGCCCGCTCCCTGGTGTTGATCAACGGAAGACGCCACGTTTCTGTCTCTACTATCGGTGTAGACATCAGTGCAGTACCCAGCATTGCCATTGAGCGTATGGAGGTTCTGAAAGATGGTGCCGCGGCACTGTACGGTTCAGACGCCATTGCTGGTGTTGTGAACTTCATTACCCGAGAAAACTTCGAAGGTTTTGAAATTCGCGGTTCTGGTCAGTTTCTGGATGAAAGTGACGGTGAGTTCAACGCCTCAGCGATCTGGGGTATGAATACAGGCCGTGCTAGATTCATGGCAGCAGCAGAATGGGACAGCCGCTCTAAAGTGGGTATTTCTGATCGTGACTGGGCTGTCCCGACACGCGCCGCAAATCCACAAGCTGGCTATTCGAGCATCGGCAATCCAGGGCGACTGTTCCCGATTTCACCATCGGCCGTCTCCGCAGCTAACCCTGCTGGATCTGTACCAACAATCGACCCTGAGTGTGAAACCCTGGGTGGTACTGCAAGCGGTTCAACGTGTTTCTTCCAGTTCACTCAATTCGATAATCTGATTGAAGAACAGGACACCTACAAGTTATTCACTGAATTCAACTACGACATCAGCGATGATGTTGAATTCCATATTGAAGCCTTGTACTCAAAAATGGATATGCTGGACTGGAACACCTCTCCTTCTTATCCACCGCAGTCTCTGTTTGGTCCTGACCGACTGGTACCCTTGGATAGCCCTGGTGTACTTGACCTGCAAGCGACCTATCCCGGCATTCTTCCGGCAGATACAGCTGCCCTTTATACCATCACACGTATGACGGGTTGGGGTGGCTTCTTAGGTGATGCCGCGGATGGCTCTCGCGAGACTGATACCTATCGCGTCTCCACCGGTTTGAATGGCGAATTGTTTGAAGGCGCCCTTGGCCTTGATGTCGCGGTGAGTTGGTCCAAGCGCGATCGTCGTGTAGTGACCCCTGATATGTTTGTCGAGCGCATGGCGCAGGCACTGAACGGCCTAGGCGGCCCTAGCTGTGATCCGGCAAATGACGCTCCGGGAACGGGTGGTTGTATGTATTACACACCTTTCTCCAATGCTGTAGCACGATCTGCGACCACTGGCGCAATCAACCCAAATGCCAATCCTGACCTGGTGGCTATGAACGAAGCACTGTTCCCATGGATGGTCGCCGACAACGGCACGGACAGTACCTTCGAACTACTGGTGTTTGATGCCACCTTTAATGGTGAAACGGGCATTCAACTCGGCGGTGGTAATGTGGGTTGGGCAGCGGGTATTCAAACCCGAAACGAGCAATATGACTTGCGTCCCGATGCCATCAATAATCTTGACATCAACCCCTGCCCTTTCCGTGAGCAATCGTCGTTAGATGCCGGCTACACACCTACACTGGGTTGTGATGCACCCATTGGTTTGTTTGCGTTCCTATCAGGCACCGCACCCGCCTCAACAGAACGAACCGTGTACGGCGGCTTCTTTGAGTTGGCGCTACCTTTCACAGATCGTCTGGATGCCCAGTTTGCCATGCGTTTTGAAGACTACGGCGGCGATGTAGGTTCTACGGTCGATCCTAAGCTGGCACTGCGCTTCCAGGCAACGGATTCGCTTGCTATCCGCGCTTCTGTATCCAGCACGTTCCGTGGCCCACCACAGCCTTTCCTTGAAGGTCGTGGTACGTCACTGCAGTTTGTCGGTCCAACCAACGCGTTCAAAGCCATTGATACGTTAGGTAACCCGGACCTGGATCCTGAAAAAGCAATCACCACTAACATTGGTTTCATCTTTGACCAAGGTAGTTTCTACGGATCGTTAGACTACTGGCGCTTCGACTTTGAAGACCCCTTCCAGATTGAAAGCTTCAATGCAATCCTGGGTGCTTATAGTGCCAATGGTTGTGGTACTGGCGGTGCCGGTGATGGTTCCGCTGACTGCAGTCAATTGGAGTCGCATATCATCTTCCAGGAAGGTGCTGACAGAAACGTGGCCAATTTGGCCCGTATGGAAGTGAACTGGATCAATGGCACCGACATCACCACCTCCGGTATCGACTGGATGGCTCAATACGATTTCGAAATGAACAACGGCACGCTAACTGTGGGTACACAAGGTACGTATACCCTTGAATACGACGTTGATGATTTCTTCGAAATTGGTGGTGTATTTCTAACGCCTGGCGGTGACTTTGCCGGTGAGTTGAATGACAACCGTAATTCACTGACCCCTGTGGTCGACCTGCAAGGCAACATCTTTGTCAAGTATGTCGCCGGTCGTCATCGTGCCCAGATTGTGGGTCGATACTGGGGTGAATACGAAGACGAGAGCGCGATTGCTTCGCTGCAGACTATCGACGACATGTTCACCGTCGACTTCACTTACAACTTGAGCCTGATGGAAGATCAGTTGAACCTCGATCTGTCTGTCTACAACTTGTTTGATGAAGATCCACCTCAAGCACAAACTGACTTGAACTACGATGCCTATACGCATAATGCGTTCGGCCGCATGATCAAAGTTGGTTTTACCTATACCTTCGGCGCTGACTACTAAGTTATCCGAAGTTGAACTGGAGTTTTCTCCAGATCAATAAAAGGCTGCCCCAGGGCAGCCTTTTTTGTGTCTGCGTCAGCAGCATTAGCGCTGCGCCAATGCCTTAAAAATAGCTTGTGTTCGCCCCTGAACGTTATCGATGCAGAGCCGCAAGCGGCATTTTGTGAGCGCCTAAAACATAAAACCCCCGCCAGGAGGCGGGGGTCTCGTCTGCAATCTTAACGGCCACATTAAGGGCCGCCGTTAATTTACATCAACCGCTCGATCAATTTGAAAAAGGCGTATAGACAATTCCAAGTTTGATCATGCGACCGAACGCGTTATGCGTCAGCGGATCGTAATTCAAATCCAGTGAAGCCGCGGGTGGGTCTTCATCAAGCAGGTTAATAGCAGAAAGTGACACACGCACCGAATCCGTAATCTCCACGTTGTAGTGCAGATCATGGGTAATGTGATCGTCAATTTTAGCCAGACTGCTATTGGCAGGCCCTTGGTCTTCATAGCTGTCCACGTAACGCATGAGGTAAGTCAGCGTATGGCGGCCGTTTATGTATTTTACGTTCAAATTGCCTTTCAACTCGGGTAGCGGAAAAAAGGAGTTAATGTCGTTCAAGCGTCCGGCATAATCCTGCTGAGGGGCTACGACAACACCTGCTGCAATTTGATCTTCAGCCTCCAGCTCTAACGTGTAGGTACCTTCTATACCTGCTGTTAGCTCTCCTTCACCTAACTCAAAAGTATATTGAGCCAGAAAGTCGATCCCGCTAGTGTTAATGGTGGCGCCATTTACCCAGTTACGGACAATACGCTCTACACCCGCCGCGGGAGTACCCAACGGAAATACTTGAGCGCGCAGACCCGCACAGGTCGACGTCGCAGCGCCAGTGCCGCCATCCTCACAACCGTTGGCTGCATAAGCAGAAATAATATTGCCGAAGCTTTCAACCTGCAGCGGATCGTCAAACTCGAAATTCCAATAGTCAATTGAACCATAGAACTTTCCCGTATCAACTATCACACCAAAGTTCAGCGCAGTGGCTGTCTCAGGTTCCAAGTTCGGGTTGCCTACGGTATCAATCGCTTTAAAAGCAGTTGCAGGGCCCACAAACGCAAGCGCTGTGCCGGTACCACCTAGAATCGCTTGTGGTGGTCCACGGAAAGTTGTGGAGGCAGAACCACGCAGTGCAATCCAATCATTGACTTGGAAACGCGCAGCAATCTTAGGATCGAGTGTTGAACCGACCTCACCACCGTAATCCTCGTAGCGAATGGCTGCTTGCATATCCAATCTGTCACTCCATGGCAGTGCCAGTTCAGCAAACAAACCATACACCGTACGCTTGGTGCGCTCTTCTCTTGTACCGGATAGAAAAGCAAACAGTCCCGTTTCGCTACCTGTACAGTCAAGGCTTGCCGTGTGACCGAGTGTAACTGAAAAAGGATCTACAAACGGGCAAGGGTTGACTGCAAGGTTTGCGACGTCGTTCAAGTCCAACTGATATCGTTCACGCCTGGACTGAAAACCCGCTGCCCAGCCGATGGTGCCGCCACCCAATTCAACATCGGTATCACCGCTGAAGATTGCATCGAACACAAAGAGCTCGTTTCGGGCTTCAGAATCCAGTCGATCCGTCAACCAGTCGAAAAGCTCTGGCGAATTGGCAACGGAGGGATCAAAGTCAGGATTGGCGCCAGTGAGAATCGAACGTTCTATCGCATTTGAAAAGGGATTGTAGTACACGCAAGGCCCAACACCCGGCACACCCGTTGCAGGATCACACCCAGCACCGCCCAGACCTTCAAACGCAAAGGCCATGCGCTCTACGTACATGTCGTTTGTTCCACTGAATCGCTCTCGGTTTGAATAGCTCAACGCAAACTCATAGTTGAGTTCGCCAAACGCTATGCCTTCAAGTGCCATATTCAGGCGCAGGGTTTCGGTTTCTCGTGGGCCAGTTTCGCTTTCGCCGTTAAGCCCACTGTAACCGACCATCCTGCTCCAGGAAACAGCGCCCTGATCAGCTGCGGGAATACCCGCGACATCGCTGAACAAACCAGGATTAGCTGCTTTCAAAGCAATCAAACCAGGATGCGTGGAAGGGACAAAGCGGTCCGGGCCCAACAGCGATTGCGGTGGGTAAGAAGGTGAAGTGAGTCTGTCGTCAACAATCACCTCAGAATACATCGCTTCAAAAGTCAGCGTTGTTGTATCGTCGATCTCAAAATCTAAAGTTGAGAAAAATTTATAGTAATCCGTGTCTTCGATAAGATTATCGAACAAAGTAAATTGAAACCGGCAAAACGGGGCCGCTAACGTGGCACCAGCCGTTTCACATCCAGGATCAGGCGTAAAGCCTCCGAGCAACGTGTTTGCTCCACCCGTCGGGTTAACCGCCGGCAGGAATGTGCCCGGGTTACCAATGCTGGAATAACCAGCCTGACTGTTTTGGGCGAATGTGGGAGCCGCCCAATCTCTATCACGGACGGTCAATTCACCTCTGTGATCGTACTCGCCGGAAAGGGTCATGTTCCAGCGTTCACCGCCAAAGCCCCAGATTGCAGCAATATTCTGATCACCGGCGTCGTCAATAAACTGATTGCTGGCGCGTAGTTCAAGACCTTCAAAGTCGTTGCGTGTAATAAAGTTCACAACGCCACCAATCGCATCCGAGCCATACAACGCTGCTGCGCCGTCTTTCAGGACCTCTACGCGACCAATCGCTGAAGCTGGGATTGCAGAAACATCTACCCCTAGTGTCGTAGTACTGACATGGCGTTTACCGTTGATAAGAACCAAAGTGCGCTCGGCACCCAAACCCCTGAGGTTAATCAGAGATACACCCGCACCGGCGGCCTGTCCCACGGAAGCAAACTGATTGGCTTCACCCGCGTTAGCTGATGTCACCCCAAGATTGCGAACCATTTCGATGATGCTTGGATTACCAACATCCTCTAATTCTGCGCGTGTCAGTACATCAACCGGCAGCGCCGCATCTTCGGGTGTACCTTTGATGAATGAACCCGTCACGATGACTTCTTCTATTTCCCCTTCTACTGCTTGCGCAATAGAGGAAATAAAGAACATAGGTAGTAGTAACACAGCGCCCAGGCGTAGCCGCCTGAACATGCGTTTGGTATGACTCATAGTTTTCTCTCCATTAGTTTATACAGGGTTCCCCAACCCTGTTCGATCTGAGACTAACGCCAACTATTAGGTGTTGCAAGCCTGAATCGACTGTGTAAAGGTATAAAAAAGGCCGCCCTGAGGCAGCTTTTTCCCTGCGCGCTAACTTTACCGGTTAGCGGCCAGCTGTTAGCGTACGCGGCCCCGCCTACAGGGTCGCGCGTAGAGTCACACCCCAGGTTTGGGGTTCGGTGTGATACTCCGTTAGTGACCCTTCCCGGATAACCGAGTTGAATGCACCGTTGGTGTAGTCTTCATCAAACACGTTCTTCGCCCATAACGACACGTCTTATCGATCGCCAGAGAAGCGATAACCTAATCGCAGGTTGGTCAACGTATACGAATCAGCGTACTTGTTCTGATCATTGTCGTTGCCGCTTGGGTTTTCATCTTTCCAGTTCACATCCAACTGACCGTAGAACAAATTGCCATCCGCCAGACGGTGAGACACCTGTCCAGAAACGTACACAGTCCACTCGGGTGTGCCGCCAACAATATGGGCGCCTACATCATCCTGCACCCCAGGGTGAAGGTATTGGCGCTGGTGTTCAGCCGGATTCCTGTGTTTCTGCCAGCACGCTGGCTGCTGATTGGCTGGGTGCTGTTCCAGTTTGTCGCGCTTACCGTCAGTACAGAAAGTGTCGCCTGGTGGGCGCATATTGGCGGGTTTGCTGCCGGTATGGCCCTGATTCCTCTCTTTAAGCAGAAGAATGTACCTTTGTTTGATAAAGGCACAGAGCATTAGCCTCGATTTACCTGAGCGTATAGGTATGATGCGCTCCCGCGAATATCCTCAACAGGTTTGCCCATGACCGCCTCTGATACCGACAGTTTTTCAACCTTACCTCTGGCACCGGAACAGCTGAAAAACCTGCAAGACCTGGGCTTCAGCAGGATGACCCCCATTCAGGCGCGCGCTTTGCCTGAGGTACTTGCGGGTAGAGACATCCTGGCGCAGGCCAAAACCGGCAGCGGTAAAACGGCAGCATTTGGGCTGGGCATTCTCCACCACATCGACACCAACTCCAAAGAGGTACAGGCGCTGGTGGTATGTCCTACGCGAGAACTTGCCGATCAGGTCAGTAAAGAGCTGCGACGCCTGGCCCAGGCGATGGCCAACGTCAAAGTGGTCTCCATATGTGGTGGCAAACCCTTTGGTCCGCAGAAAGCCACCCTCGCCTACGGCGCCCATATTGTTGTTGGCACACCCGGGCGACTGCTTGACCACCTGCAGAAACGCAGTCTCGATATCAGCCAGGTGAAAACTCTGGTGCTGGACGAAGCCGATCGGATGCTGGATATGGGGTTTACCGAAGACGTACAGACCATCATCAGCTTTGCCCCGGACAAGCGTCAGACCCTGTTGTTCTCAGCCACTTACCCGGATGAAATCCGGCGCATGAGTGCCACCGTCCAGCACAAACCGATGGACATCAAAATCGAAGAGCAGCATCAAAATGACGTCATTGAGCAGCTTTTTTATGAAGTGAAAAAACACGAGCGCAACGCTGGACTGCTGGCGTTGTTTGAGCACTACAATCTCAGCAGCGCATTAGTGTTCTGCCACACCAAGCGCGATTGTGATGAAGTGGCCGAGTTCCTGAATCAGCATCGTATTGCGGCTCTGGCCATCCATGGCGATCTGGAGCAGCGTGACCGCGACAAGGTGCTGGTGCAGTTTGCCAATCACAGCACCTCTGTCCTGGTCGCCACTGATGTTGCGGCACGAGGACTGGACATCAAGTCTCTGCCTACTGTCATCAATTACGAGTTACCCCATGATCCGGAGATTTATACCCATCGGATTGGTCGCACT